AAGAAGCTGGTGTAAGACTGTAAGCTATTTTAAAAATTGTGTGACTCTAGGGTTTCATATTCTCATCTCTCACTACTTTTTGTTGAAGTAATTAGATGTTCCTGGATCAGATGTCCTTGAAGTTCTCATTTGTTAGATGCATCATAGCTGCTAGATACATATCAAAGCATGCCCGACAAGCAAACAGATTTAATAAATGCCACTTTCATCAAAGCATAGGATATGAGATAAGATAAAAGAGCCACAATATTATTACATGAGTAAAAACAATTACCACTGGTTGAATATTTTTTTAGAGAAATAAAGAACTAGTTCCTTGCCTATTCTAAAATCAGCAAGTGCTTTCAAGCATGTTACACAACTGGGTCACCGAAATATGTTACATAAGCTTGTGGTAAACATTCACTTATGGTTGAGCCATGATTTTACTTGAGTTTAAAAGATGGTGTCTTTCCAACATCTGTACGCATTCCTAGTTGGTGATGGTGGCATATGTTTATGACATTCTTCAAACACCTATTCTTTTTACAACTTCAATCTGGGCTACTATCAGATAGACAAGTATGTACCACAATCTGTTAAAAACCACTATATTCTTACAGAGAATGAGTGATCTACTATCACCAATTCTTTTTGTGATGCGAGATGAAGAGGAAGTGTTCTAGAACTATGCTTCTTTGATGGAACAATTGGGTTTAAATTTCCACCATGATCAAAATGGCATGCACTTGCAGCTTTTTCACTTTGGTGATTACATACTCTCTATTGGGTTCTGAGTTTAGTTGTATGCATTTTATTTTAACATTATAGTGATGGTTAGAGAGTTGCTCGCAATATTGAGATTGGGGTGAAATGAGATGTCTCTCCGAAAGATTGATGTCGAGTTTCATTAGTCTCGATGAAGATAGTGTTGATGATTTGGCTATGGCTTTGTGTTATTGGCATTCGTGCATTTGCTAGTTAGCAACTATGTTGATGTTCAAACGAGCAGAGTGGCAAGTTTGATGTGTTTTAAACGAGATTATTTAGTAGAGGTTGAGTTTTAGCTTTTCCTTGAAAAGTGATTTAGTCGTAGGCAACATTAACTTTACGAGATGAAGAGTTTATGATTGATATTGAAGATGTTTGAATCCTTGTTGGATTTGAGTTGGAATATATTGATCATTGATGATTCTTTTTGTGCTTATTATGACATGAGTTACATCTTGCTATAGATGGATTCATGAAGGATCATTTAGTGATCACTTGTTGAGCATAACTTTATTATGTTTGGCTTTTGGATTGATGCAAATATACTCTTCATTAGCTTTGCATTATGAAGTTTAACTTCTAGATGTGTTGAGGAGTATGTTATGAGTTATACCATGATTTTCTTCTTAGCATTGAAGTTAGTTGATGTGAGGTTTGTGATCATTATTATGCAAGACTTAGCTATTTTTCTTTAAGCTTTTAATGGTATTGCAAAAAGCCATAAGCCATCAAAGAGAACAACTAACCATCATGAAAGATCATAAATTATCCCATCAATAAAGAGATGCATAATCATCGTTGAAGAAAGAATCCACCATCCCAAAGAACAGCGAATCATTCTATATCAATAACAATCAAACAAAACTTTTTGACAAGGATAATCAACTATCTTAGATCATAGTCAATCATCACCAATGATTGCTAGATGCAAAAGCTAACTTTAGCATCGAAGCTAATGAGCCAAAATGCCTTCCCCTAACAACTTCTAACAAATGGAACAATGAGCATAAAACTCAAAGAAACTTGAGTTCCTTGGTGTTGTTGGTTGAGATCTATTCGAATTGGCTAGTGTGATAGTTGGCATGAACGGATGTTTGTTGGTTTTGCGACATTCATTCTGTTCTGTTGATCATTGCTTAAGTTAGTTCTGATAGATTAGAATGTTATTTCCTTTGGGTGATACATTCGTGAGTAATTTACTTGCCAATTGACGATATTTTGTATTTTTTGAGTTATCTTTCATAAGTTGTTTGGCATTCTGTCTACAATCTTTAATAGTTAAGCTTTATTATTGAGTTTTCTTGATGATACACTAGCTATTGAATTTTGTTGGATGGTGAATTCTATGTTTTCCAATGATAGTGATCTTGATGGTTCCTATCCTATAATACTAGTTTATCGGATGATAACTTACTTGGGATACTTTTGTGTTCTCATCTAAAATTTATTCACTGATAATTAAGTCTCTAAAATATCATTGTCTTTGATTTTGATATTGTCCATTTATTAATCTTTGAGTTTAGGCCAGTATAGGTAGATTAGCTTCGGCACTTCATGTGCATGATGAAATCTCTAGTCATGGGGTAGCTACTGTCGACTGATCATATAACCCGCCTCTCTGTCGATGTTCCTTATTCCATTCAAAGGGCATGACCATGTAAATAACTCTATCTGCCTGTTTACAGTAGTCTATCTAAACCTTACCAACAGATTTGGTTTCTTTGCTCAGGAGGGTTGGGGCCTCTGGCTTCTCTCTCTATGTTTTTGCGGGCAAGGGCGTATCACACTTTTGTAAGCTGGGTGACACGCAGAGCAACAAGGGTGGCTGACTCCGTTGGTCATTTCCTTGTCAGCGACAGCCGGAAGGTGTTTGAGTGGGTAGCACATCCACGTTAGACAAAGAGATTACTTCATAATTCATTTAAATTGATACATTTCTCACATAGTATGAATACCATGAATTTTTTCTGGAGTTTTTTCCTTGGCGGTATTCTAAACTGGAGTATGCATCGACGAGGACGTCGATCTTCCCTAGGGGGGGAGAGTGTTGCGAATGTGAATTCGGGTATCGAAAGTTACCTGTCGGTTAATCCTTTTGGATATTCTTTCCTTACTGCCACGATGGCAGGAGGTCGGTATTGCTAGACTCATTATTAGTCTCCGCCTAAGCTAGTTGAGAAACTGGTCTTCACGTGTGCACTTGACTAGATGAGCATAAGGAAAGAATTCCTAAGTGTCTATTTAGTCAATCATATTTGACCTAGTTAGAAAAACTCATTTATTGACTTGCACTTGTTAGTGTTGGGAACCCCCGCGATATTGAGATTGGTTCCTTAATATTCGCTAAATGATAGCTTACCGTGTTTACTAAACACCCTCGCTATCATGCCCTTTGTGTTAATCTCATTCCAGTCCCAAATGTTATTTATGGAAAGTGTTTAGATTTACTCATTTGGCATATTTATAGAATATAGAGATTGTTCTGAACACAATGGTGTTTGTCCTGTATCCAAATTCGCAATCTAATGCCATTTCATATTTAGTAAGTTTCGAATTTGTCCCAGAGACTAACTCCTGATACTAAGGGAGGCTTGGGGTGAAAGCCCAAAGCGTGTGTTCCTCAAGAGGGGGGGGGGGGGGGGTCTAAATGTATAGTAAGGATAGTGGGTAGGTTGGGCATGGTTGACTAACCTGAGGCATAGTTTAGCTCCCGCTTGCGTGTCTGTCCTTGTTCTGCATCCGGCTTGGGACTAAGCCTAAGTTCCATTCCATGCTAACTGGTGGAGTACCCATGTCCTTGTGTTAGGCCACCGGTATGCCGAAATAGCACTAGACTCCATTTGGCTCTGTTTTACGTGCTAGTCCTGGCAAAGGGATGCTGGTTGCTCTAGGACTATTCCAAGTCGCTCTGGGCTCCTGTCCCTTCGCTCCTTGGGGTGTATGCTTGAAAGTTACTCTGTGGTTCAGTTTTGTCACTCCTTGGCTCCATGCTTGGGAGTTTAGCACCGTTCCTTCGTTCAATGGCCCAAGGCCCTGAACCTCGGGTTCTGCACCATTGTCCTTTGGACACGTGGCATATGACACGTGGGATGTATCATGTGGCATAAAGAGGGTTTAGGTTCCGCTTTGTGGTGTTATCCTATGGTAAATCACCATAGGATAAAGGGTCAAAACCACATGCACTACAATCGAGTTGTCACAATAACTTTGTTGAAAACCATGAGAAGGTAGAATAATGATTCATTCAAAGTTGTGATCTTGGATGTTGTATTAGGTGATTGGAACACAAACACTTTGAATTGAGAAAGGATAAAGTATATGAGTCACTTGGTGTGGTAAGTTTTATTCTTTCCATAGCATTGTAAAGAAAAAAATCACTACCAAGAATGCATATGCACTTATTGTAAGCTATCTTCAAGATTCATGGCTTATAAATGCATGTGATTATAAAGCCCAAAATCAAAACTGCCCACAGAAAAGAAAAAAAAAGAAAGCATACTACCTGTGTGTATATCTAAAGTCAAGAGGTGATCATCTCATTCATTGCCTCATAAATGGCAAGAGAAGAAGAACTTGGACTTGTACCAGAACTTGATGTGGTGTGGTTAAGTAGTATTGACTACCTCAACTAACCAATACCACATGGAAGTAAGAAAGAGCTTGAGTTTAACTATGAGTTTATCTTTCTTAATCTTTTGAGTTTAGATTCATGATTGGAGTTTTAAACAATAACCCTTTAATGAAGTGAAGATTTTTTCTAGATTCTCGAGAGTTCATATCCACAATTTCTCATTGTCAAAATTCATGACTTTAAAAGCTTAAGGTGAATTCTTGAAGTTTTATAAAGAGCTAGTTGCTAGAATTTGGCAATTGAACTTCTATTACTATGGATGCGCTTATACTCTTTCTTTTGGATTTGAAAGTATACTTAATCAACTCTTACACTTGCAAAATTATTGTGACCAACTTACAAAAATTGTAAATGACTATTGAATTACACTCCTTTAGACATGGCTCTCCTTTTTGTCTTTTTCAGACCGAATAAAAAGTTATGTAAAAGGCCACAAAATCTCATCACCAAATCATTGTTCTAGTATTTTATTTTTCATTTTTTTTCTCCTTTCAGATTGAAAACATTTTCTACTTCTGCCACCAAAGCTAGGATTCCTGCTAGTTTCAAATTTAAATTTGCGCTGATCGAAGATTCTAGATTCATATAAGCCCTAAACCCCTCCACTCTCTTTCTAGGGTTTTAGGAATGCTCGCGTCGGGGCTGCGCCGGGGCGCCGGGGCGGCGGCTGGGAGGTTAAATCGAGCGATCTCCGCCAACATTCTCACATCGCTGCTGCGCTGCCACAGCTCGCAGGTCTGTCGGATTTCTAGTTCCACGATCGTGTCTCGAGCTTGGATTCCTGCATTGCCTGTTTATCCGGGCGGGGCGACGAGCCAGGAATACGTCGCTGCTGCCAGGAATTTCTCCGTCCAGGCCCGGGTCGAGAATGAAGAGATTGACGGTTTCTCCGTTCTTGCCAAAATGGTTGAGCCGGAGTTCGATGTGTTACAAGCGGTCGTGAAGTGGACAGAGAAGGGGCACGTTTTGTCCAGCGAAACTTTGGCCAGGCTCGCTACTTGGATGGTCGAGAAGAGAAGGTTTGTCCAAGCTCTCAAGGTATGTTCTTTGTTTGGAAGTCTTCATGGTCTTGAGTTTTGATTTTCCTTTGTAGCTCTTGACAGGTGCTAGAGAAAGCAGACTAGCAGAGGTGTCAGGCCAACTCCTTGCACTGGAGTTGGATTTGCTAAGCCGTCAGTACAAATGCAGTCGTGTGGAGGCTATTTACAACACTTTCCCTGAGGAGCTGAGGACGGCTGACGTGAACAGAGCGCTGCTTTCGAGCTTTATAAGGGACAACCGGGTGGAGAAGGCAGAAAAATTCTTGGAGAAAGGCAAAGTTTTGGACACCGAGGGATGGAACGTCGTGCTAGACATGTACTTGGCACGGGACAAACACAGGAAGCTCTTCAAAAGTTTGACGAGGATGAAGGAGTCTGGGGTCGAGCCAGACGCTAAAACGTACAGGATACTTCTGGTTTGCAGGGACGCCGCCGGTGGCTTTGAGGGAATCGAGGCAGACGCTCGAAAACGTCTGGAGGAGATTGACATTGGTAGTGCTCAAGCAGGAGTTCTCGAGGAGATGCTCGAAGTTTATGGTCATCTCCGAGAGATGGAGGCTGTGGACAGGATATGGAGCGCTCTTAAGGAAAGCCACCAGGTTGCCAAGGCCTGCTACGTGACGGCCATGAAAGCATTCGGAGTGGCTGGTGATGTGTCCCGTGCGGAGAAGGTCTTCCAGGAGCTGCTGGCTATCACGACGAGCTTCCCGAATCGCAAGCACAATCCATACGCTGCTATGGTCGATGTTTATGCGAGGGCCGGGTTGATGGACGAGGCGGAGAAACTCCTCAAGGACAAGGCCGACGAGGAACTCAAAGACAGTTTTTGGTGTTACGAGTCTCTCGTTGCGGGCTACCTTTTGAAAGGCGACGCAAAGAACGCCCTGGGGAAGTTCAAGGGTGGTCTAGCTGCCGTGAAGAAGGGACCAACAAAGCTCGAGTACAAGTCCGTGATGGGTTTGCTAGCGGCTCTGGCCTTGAGGAGAGACGTGGATGAAGCCGAGAAGGTGATGGGTCACTACAGCTCCCTGTTTGGAGAGGCCCCTGTCTACAACCAGCTGCTCAAAGTCTACATTGCTGCCGGCAAAACTCCGAAAGAATTCAAGGAGAGAATGCTAGAGAGGTTTGTGGAGCCCGACGAGGAGACTGAGAAGCTGTTACAGAACGTGGTAGCAGAGGTTTAAGTAGGGTTTTAGGATTCGAGATGGGCACTGCTGCCTGGTGGATATGGAAGAGGCCAGCAGCAGCTTTTTGCAAGGTTGGTCTCTCGCCCAAGTGGGATCGCCGTGAAGCTTTCGCTCTTCCACCGTACTACACTAGCGAGAAGGCCAAAGCACCAGTTTCGGAACAGTCCAAGATGAAAGAGCTGAGGAAGTTTGTCCGGGAATTCAAGGGAGAGGAACCCAATGAGACTGCGGAGCAGGAGAAGGTTGTGAGCCTATGCCGGACTCTCAATGCTAAGGCCGACACTTCGGAGGTAGTCAAGAATTGGATAGCCGATGGAAATGTGATGTCACGGGACGTTGCTGCTAAAGTCTCTGGTTGGTTTCTTCACTGCAGGCACAACGTCCAAGCTCTAAAAGTAAGCATTGATTTTTCTGAAATGTTTTTCCTTGGAATGTTTGAACTAACTGCTGTATTTGATGTTCTTTGGTAGTTCATGAACGTCGTGAGAGAAGAACGCCTGGTAGAAATGACCTCGAAGCTATACATGCAAGAGATCTCACAGCTATGTCTTCAGCTGGGGACATCAAAAGGCGAGGCTTTGTTCAGAAGCATGCCAGAGAGTTTGAGGACGGAGGAGGTAACCACGGCTTTTCTTACTGCTGTTGCGAAAGAGGACGACTCGGCCAGAGCGGAGAGATTGATGGACGAGCACAGCACGTTGTCCGTCGACGCCTGGAGCGCGGTTCTACACATGTATCTCAGAAGGGACAGGCACGACAAGCTGCGGGACACTTACTACAGGTTCAAGCAGAAAGGGTTGAAGCCGGTCCTTTTTACGTACTGGCTGGTTCTCCAGTGCCGAGAAAGAGTCGGCGGTTTTGAGGAGATTGAGATGGAGTTCGACGCGGAGCTGAAAAGAACTAACTTCGAAGAGGCAGACACACGGCTACTCAATCTAATAATGCGTTCCTATGCACTCTTGGGAAAGCGGAAGATGGTGGACAGGATGTGGACGCTGCTCAAGAGCGAACAAGTTGCTGCTCCCGACTTAAACAGCTACATCTCCGCAATCAAGTCATTTGGTTTGTTCGGGGACTTGGAAAAGGCATATGAGGTGCTGGAGGAAGTGCTGCAAAAGTTCGAACGGATTCCTCAAAATCCATACATCTGGATCGTGGAAATCTGCGTGAGGCTCAAGATGATCGACCAGGCGGAGAAGCTCATGGAGAAGCACATCGGCAAGAGCTGCTTTCTTCCCTACAACTTTCTGGTCACTGGCTACGTTGAAACTTCCCAGATCTCAAGCGCGCTCAAGAAGCTGGACGAAGCTTTCGAGATTCCTTTCAAGGACCGGAAGCTATTCTACAAGACAGTGATGGCTTTGCTCCCGGTGTTCGCCAAGAGGGGAGACATACACTCGGCCGAGAAGCTCATTTCCAACTACGGCTCCTGCGGTGACGTGAAAGTCTACAACGCACTGCTCAACGTCTACGTTTCCACGAAGAGGATGCCAACCAACTTCCTTCACAGGATGAAGAACCATAACATTGGACCGAACGAAGAGACATGGAGACTCATGGACACACTGGAATCGTTCTGGGATCACAAGCCAGGACGCAGTACTGTCTGGAGAGTCGTGAATGGGCGGAGGATATCTCGGGACCAGCAAATGGCTCACTTGAAGTTCTCCAGGGAAGGAAAAGATGTCAGGAACCGCGGCCTAATTCCAAAGAACTAAGTATATCGTGCGCAGCAGTGACTGATCTAGAGGCAAGTTTTTCAACGTCTTTGTTGTTTCTCTTTGATTATTTCCTTTTTTTTTCTAGATTCTCCTCTTGCATGGATACTGGCTGCCATCTGTTCCTGGTGAAGTTACAAGTGTCAACCAAGCCGATGTTCTCCAAGTGGAGAAAATGGAGCGAACGATCGATCAAAACACAACAAGGAAAGGGAAGAAATTAGCTCGCTAGCTCTTTGTTCTTTTCAAAGCTTCTCACTATAATGAACGTCATCGCGCAGGCTCTAGATGAGAAACTTGGGAAGGTCCCGGTGGCTCAAGGCTCGACGAGGCCAGCAACATCAGACACGGAGGTGATGCGAGCGATTACATGGCAGGGAAAGAAGAAGGTCTCGTGCGACAAGGTCCCCAAGCCGCTCATCACCCATCCGAAGGACGTGATCGTCAAAGTCACTGCTTGCACTATTTGCTCCGGCTCCGACTCTCACATCTACGGTGGAGAGATTCCTGACACCTCCAAGGGCCAGATTTTGGGACATGAAGGCTGCGGTGTGGTGTCCGAGGTGGGAGAAGCGGTGACCAAGTTCAAGGCCGGGGACCGAGTGGTCATTGCCTTCGGCATCGCTTGTGGCGACTGCGACTACTGCAAGCGCGGAGAGTTCACAGGCTGCGACACCACCAACGATTCCAAGCTCATGGAGCTCATGTACGGTCACAGGCACTCCGGGGCCTTCGGCTATGGAAACTTGGTCGGTGGCATCCCGGGCTCGCAGGCCGAGTTTGTCCGAGTCCCCTTCGCGGACGTGAACTGCTACAAGATCCCGGACGAGGTCCCGGACGAGAAGGCGCTCTATCTCTCCGACGTCCTGTGCACGTCCTACCACGCCGTGATGCTGGCCGGGGGAGTGAAAGCTGGTGAAAGCGTGGCTATCTGGGGGCTGGGACCGATCGGGCTTTGCGCCGCGAGGTGGTGCCAGATTATGGGAGCTTCCAAGGTGATCGGGATAGATTTCGTCAAGGAGAGGCTGGAGGTGGCGGAGAAGAAGCTGGGGATCACAGTCATCGATCGAAACTCCGTCAAGGACGTTCCAAAGAGGATCTTTGAGCTGGTTCCTGGTGGAGTGGACGCGAGCATCGAGGCGGCGGGGTTCCGGTTCCCTGTGAGTATCCTTCACAAGGTGGAGCGCACGGTGGGGTTGGAGACCGACACCGCGGACATTCTCAACGAGTTGTTTCTGGCGACGAGGAAGTGGGGGCGGGTGTCCGTGATCGCGGACTACCTTGGCTACTGCAATCACTTTGGGATCGGGATGGTGATGATGAAGCACTTGACGCTGCGAGGGGGGCAGTGCCCGTGCCAGCGTTACTTCGACACGGTGATGGACCACGTCAAGAGTGGAAAGTTTGATCCGAGCTTCATGGTTTCCCACAGGATCAAGCTGGAGGACGCGCCGGAAGCGTACCGCAAGCTCTTCAACAAAGAGGATGGTTACATCAAAGTCTTTATAGAAGTGTGAGAAATGTGAGAAGGGAGATACTTATTAAGTTAGTTTTTAAGTAAGTAAATGTATATAGATTCCTTGGAGTTTAGGGCGAAGCTAGCTATGGCGCTCTTGTCGGGCTGTGCTCTATGTGAATTTGGAGGTGGATGGAGCTGCCGCTACGAATGCGGCGATCAAGGAAGCTCAAACTGGTAAGCCAAGCCCAAGAGCGGAGAGAACGATAAGCTTTCCATTTTCCTTCTTTCGCTTCTCTCTCTCTCTCTCTCACGATAAGCTTTTCATTTTTCTTCTTTTGCTTTCATGTTTTCACGTTAACACTTCTCTTGCTGTATAGTGAATGTGAATCTGGGAGGCTCGAGCTCCATGACCGCCGATGCAAAGAAGAAACTCTTGTGAATCAAACGAGGCCGTGGTGCTAGGCAAACAAGCTGCCGACTCAGTTTTGTTTCAAAAGCATGCCAGAGAGTTTGAAGTTTGAGGCAACCACGGCTTTTCTTACCGCTGTTGCCAAAGGGGATGACTCGGCCAGAGCGGAGAGATTGATGGACGAGCTAAACAGCTCGTTGTCCGTCGACGCCTGGAACGCGTTTCTACGCATGTATCTCAGCACGACAAGCTGCGGGACAGTTACTACAGGTTCAAGCAGAAAGGCCTGGCTGGTTCTCCAGTGCCGAGAAAGAGTCGGTGGTTTTGAGAAGATTGAGATGGAGTTTGACGTGGAGCTGAAAAGAACTAACTTCGAAGAGGCAGACACACGGCTACTCAACCTGATAATCCGTTTCCTATGCGCTCTTGGGAAAGCGGAAGATGGTGGACAGGATGTGGACGCTGCTCAAGAGCGAACAAGTTGCTACTCCAGTCCTTTGGTTTATTAGGTGCTGGAGGACGTGCTGCAAAAGTTCGAGCGGATTCCTCAAATTCCATACATCTGGACGAGATGATGGACCAGGCGGAAGCTCATGGAGAAGCACATCGGCAATAATTGCTTCCTTCTCTGCAACTTTCTACCGGAAGCTCTTTTGGTGGCTTTGCTCCAAGAGGGGCGACATACACTCGGCCGAGAAACTACGGCTCCTGCGGTGACGTGAAGGTCTACAAACGTCTACGTTTCTAGAAAGAGGATGCCAACCGACTTCCTTCACCGGATGAAGAACCACAACATTGAACCCAACGAAGAGACGTGGAGGCTCAGTACTGTCTGGAGAGTCGGATAGCTCACTTGAAGTTTTCCAGGGAAGGAAAAGAAATCAGGAACCGCGGCTTAACTCTAAGTACGTGCGAAGCAATGTTTCCTTGTTCTAGATTTGTCCACGCATATACTTGCATGCATGGATAGTGGCTGCCACCTGTTCCTAGTTGAAGCTACAGGTGTCAACCAAGCCGAAGGTCTCCAACTGGTGAAAACTCGAGTGGACGATCGATCGAAAATCTTCTCGGGTTTCTCCACGGCAACCAGGAAAGGGAAGAAAGCTCGCTAGCTCTTTGGTTTTCTCAAAGCTTCTCACTCGCTATGATGAACGCCGCCGCGCAGGCTCTAGATGAGAAAGTTGGGAAGGTCCCGGTGGCTCAAGGCTCGACGAGGCCAGCAACATCGGAGACGGAGGTGATGCGAGCAATTACATGGCAGGGAAAGAAAACAATTTCGTTGGACAAGGTACCGAAGCCGGTCATCACGCATCCGAAGGACGTGATCGTCAAAGTCACTGCTTGCACCATTTGCTCCGGCTCCGATTCTCACGTCTACGCCGGAGAGGTTCCCGACACCTCCAAAGGCCAGATCATGGGACACGAAGGCTGCGGTGTGGTGTCCGAGGTGGGTGAAGCGGTGACCAAGTTCAAGGCCGGGGACCGAGTCGTCATCGCCTTTGACATCGCCTGTGGCGAGTGCGACTACTGCAAGCGCGGTGAGTTCACAGGCTGCGACACCACCAACGACTCGAAGCTCAGCGAGTTCGTCTACGGTCACAGGCACTCTGGCATCTTCGGCTATGGAAACTTGCTCGGTGGAGTTCCTGGCTCGCAGGCCGAGTTCGTCCGAGTCCCCTTCGCGGACGTGAACTGCTACAAGATCCCGGACGAGGTCCCGGACGAGAAGGCGCTCTATCTCTCCGACGTCCTGTGCACGTCCTACCACGCCGTGATGCTGGCCGGGGGAGTGAAAGCTGGTGAAAGCGTGGCTATCTGGGGGCTGGGACCGATCGGGCTTTGCGCCGCGAGGTGGTGCCAGATCATGGGAGCTTCCAAGGTGGTCGGGATAGATTTCGTCAAGGAGAGGCTGGAGGTGGCGGAGAAGAAGCTGGGGATCACAGTCATCGATCGAAACTCCGTCAAGGACGTTCCAAAGAGGATCTTTGAGCTGGTTCCGGGAGGAGTGGACGCGAGCATCGAGGCGGCGGGGTTCCGGTTCCCTGTGTCTATCCTTCACAAGGTGGAGCGCACGGTGGGGTTGGAGACCGATACCGCGGACATTCTCAACGAGTTGCTTCTGGCGACGAGGAAGTGGGGGCGGGTGTCCGTGATCGCGGACTACCTTGGCTACTGCAATCACTTTGGGATTGGCATGCTGATGATGAAGCACTTGACGCTGCGATCGGGCCAATGCCCGTGCCAGCGCTACTTCGACACGGTGATGGATCACGTCAAGAGTGGAAAGTTTGATCCGAGCTTCATGGTCACTCACAGGATCAAGCTGGAGGACGCGCCGGAAGCATACAGCAAGCTCTTCAACAAAGAGGATGGTTACATCAAAGTCTTCATAGAAATGTGAGAGGGGAATTGTTTTCTCTCTTTCTGTGAGTAATCAGGTTAGTGTTAATTAAAAAGTTCTTAATTAGTTAATCATGTTAAAGTTATGAGGTATATATATATATATAAAGCAAACCCTTGGATTAGGGTGAAGCTATGGAGGGAGGAGCTGCGCTCTCGGCGCTAGTGTCGGTGTCGGCCTGTGCTCTAGCGGAGGCCAATGCGCCGCTAGAGGAGCAAGCGGCACAGCCGCTGGATCAGCAGCAGCAGCAGCAGCAGCAGCAGCAGGAGAAGGTGGAGGAAGAAAATCGCGAGCACGAGCAGCTGCGGCGGCATCACTCGTCGAGGTCGAGATCGAGCTCGCCGGGAGCGGATGATTCAGGTAATATTGCTTGTCTGGGAAATATTTCGAGCGTTTGGCTGAGCGATGGCGGGCGATTTCACAGGTAAGCGCGCCAGGAGTCCTAGAAGAGAGGACGAAGCGAGGGTGAGGCACAGGGAATCGGACAGAGAGAGGTCTCGGGGGAGCCGGCATTCTCACTCGCATTCGCATTCTCACTCTTACGGCGGCAGAGATAAGGAGCGTGAGAGGGATCGCGAGAGGCGGGAGAGGGAGAGGGATAGGGATAGAGAGAGGGACTGGGAGCGGGGCCGGGAAAGGTCAAGGGACGAGCACAGGGAGAGGGATCGGTCGAGAGGAAAGGAAAGGGATGATCACGGGAGGCACAGGGACAGTCACAGGGACAGTCACAAGCGCAAGGAGAGAGACGAAGGGAGTAGCGGCCAAGGAAAAAGCGCCAAATCTCCCGACAATGGGAAAGAGAGAGTCGAGCTCGAGCACAATGGTGTCGAGGCTCGAGCAGCGCAAAATGAGAATTTGGAGGTGGATGGAGCTGCCGCTACGAATGCGGCGATCAAGGCAGCTCAAACTGGTAAGCCAAGATCATTTTTCTTCTTTTGCTTTAAGCTTTCTCTTTTCTTCTTGCGCTCTCTCTCTCTCTCGATTCCAGTTTTCTTCTTTTGAGAGAGGACGATAAGCTTTCCATTTTTCTTCTTTTGCTTTCATGTTTTCACTTGAGAGAACGCTAACACTTTTTCTTGCTGTATAGTGAATGTGAATCTGGGAGGTTCTAGCTTCATGACCGCCGATGCAAAGAAGAAACTCTTGTGGTCTGGAAAGCGTGCCGAATCAAACGAGGTGAGAGAAGTTTCCTTTTTTACTCTTCTTTAAGAATGTGTCTCTACAGGGGCCTCCCCCGGCTGGAAAGAGCCACTGGGACACCGTCCAATTCGCCGACCGGGAGAGGCAGGAGAAGTTCCACAAACTTATGGTAAGTAAGCTTTTGGAGGTTTCCTGCCAGTGATGAAACGTGCTAACGCTCCTACAGAGCCTGAGTGTGGTTTGCTGCTCCTCTACGTTTGCAGGGATTAAAATCCAACCAAGGCAGCGGCGCTCCAGCGGCGGCGGTGGCGGCGGCTGTTCCTCAGGACAAGCATCGCGTCGTCCAGGAGGATCTGGAGAAGCAGTTCTCGGCTGGGTTGCGGCGACGCGATGGTCGAACGGTGGGCCTGGGATTGTAACCAACATTATGCTTGTTTGTATCGTGTGCTTGTCGAATAGAAGTTCCTTCTCGACTGCTAAACAAAATTTCTTTTTCTTTGTCAAAGCCATGGCAAATAGATAGAAACGCTGCTTACTCTTTGTGCTTGTCTTGGAAGTTCATCGTCTTGGGTTAGAAGTTTTTGCTCACTTGCCGTCCTCTCAGATCTTGTGTGGGCCTCGCGTTGTACTCCTGTGTAGAGAAAATGTTGTTTAGAACTAGGAGAATGCTCGGTACAAGAATACCTGCATCGCGGTCTTGATGATGTTGAACTGATCATCAGAAGCTGGGACAACCTGCAAGGATGGAATTCAAAAAGGTTGTTTGGGTGTGAGAGAAAGAATAAACCTCTGTCATGACGGTCCAAATGACATTTTGTGTGCACGGAGGTGTTGTCAATGAGCCCCAGTAACGAAAGAAACTGGTTCCCAAGTTGAGGTTGTTTGTGTTGAGTTGAGTGGTAGGCTTCCACTTGATGATCTAGAGAGAGAGAGAGAGAGAGAGAGCATAGTGCTAAGTATGCATGAAAATGTCATTTGAGATGCTTACCTCATTGAGAAATGGATTGGTGACTTGACCCGAATCGTAGAGAACGGCAATGACAGCATACGCTCCCTGGTCTGATAGAAAAATCATCTGCATCTCCAGCTTGTACCTGTTCACAACAGTCGTGAGGTATTTCGCATTTTGTTTCAAACCTTGTCGAATCGATCATGTGTTCGCTGGGCATATGAAAATGAATCTTGTAGAGCCTGAACTTTTGGGCAGCGATAATGAGATTGCCTCCTGGAAGAAGAAACTCTAGCTGAAGTAGAAACAGCGGTTAAACTCTAGCTAGCACTTAATGTCAAGCAAACCTGATAGATATAGCGACCCGACTTTAAGCTTCCCATGGGATATCCAAACACTTTCTCAAGAGTAAGAGACTTGTCAACCTGTGCGTTTGCACTCACCAGGTCAATAGGGGACTGCCGGTCGCCTGAGTTGCAGAGAAACCAATCCTTTGAAACTGCTCCCCAGTTCAGTGGCCCCTTTTTACCGTTTGTATAGTCATATACTGCACACAAAAGCCGCGCAGTTTTAGAAGATTGAAAGCAGCGGAAAATGCCAGCCAACCTGGAGCTTCTACAGTCATTGCGCCGATCAGTTCGTCATAATTTATCACATTCGGCTTGGACTTTTTCGACGCACCCTTCGGCTTCATTGCTATGAGAATCACTGTCATGAGAAGTATCACAAAGCCAACACTGGAGCGAAACTACAAAGGCATAAATCTTCAGTACGACAGGACCAAAAAGCATTGAAAATTACCTAGCACCGTAAAAGATGAGGCTGTTCTTGTCGGTCTTAAACGGGAGCTGGCTGAGCAAACTAGTAACAGTCGGAGCCACCTTCGTCTTAACACTCTCATACGCCACCTTCGTGTGATCCACGGCACTTTCCACCACGGCTCTGGCCTGATCATACGCTCTGACCACCGGTGGAGGCAACTTTTCTCGAACGGTCTGAAGAACACCCTCCACTGCCTCCCTGGTCTGATCCAAAACTTGGGTGGCTTTCCCATAAGCTTGGGTAGACTTCACAGTGTCCCAGGCGCCCTCCACTGCGTGCTTGGTGCGATCGTAAGCACTGTCCAATGCGTGCTTGGAGTGGTCGAGAGCGTCGCCCACCTTTATAGCATCCAGAGCGTGCTTTGTGTGGTCGTAAGCGTCGTGTAGAGCATCCCTCGCGTGGTCGTAAGCCTCGTGAACAGCTTGGCCTGCGTGGTCGTAAGCGTCGTGGATCCCAGACCAAGCATCATGATGCTGGGGCTGCTGTGGATCATGCTGTTGTGGATCATACTGCTGTGGATCATACTGCCCATGCTGCTGGGGATCATAATCCGCCTGGTAGTGCTGTGAATCATACTCGACATTGTGCTGCTGGGGATCATAGTACTGCTGCTGTGGATCATAGTGCTGCTGTGGATCATACTGCCCGTGAGGGTCATGAGCCTGGTCGAAATAAGCGTTGGGATCAAACCCTTGCTCCCGGAAATTCAGATCGTGCTCACCTCCTCCGCCGAGATGCTGCTGCTGCTGCTGCTCGTCGTAGGCTAGATGATGCGCGCTTGGATCAAAGCCCTCGATGTGTAGCGGATCGAGAGCCTCGACCTGCGGCTGCTGCTCCTGCCCGTAGTGATAGCCGCCGTGATCGCCATAGTAATGCTCGTAATCCTGGTGATACTCACCACTGGCATTGCCTTCCTCGTGGTGATCCCACAGCGCTGGATCTTGGTGCTCCATTCTCCTTGGAAATATTTTCTAGGGTTCTTAGCTAAACTGCTCCAACGAAATATTTAGTTTCGAAACTAGAATCTCCCGCCCAATAGATCCGTCGATGGTTCGATTCCCGGCCAGGATGGTTCTAAGACTGGAAGAGGAGCTGGGGATATAGCGCCAGGGCCCAGCCCTAGCGCCACGCTGGTTCTCCGATAGAGGTACTTTCCCTTGGCGCCTAGATTAGGGTATAGAGATCCGAGCTCCGCGCATCCAGAAGTCCTGGTCCGGCAGCACGGCAGCGCGGCGAAAATGCCGTCGGCATTCAAATCCTCGCCCAGGCACCAGATCAACATCAAGGAGAATGGAGTGGCAGCGATCGAGGAGGCAGCGCTTTCCAGGCGCGGGTCGGGCGATTTCGGCTACGACGAGGATGCTTTCACGCGGCTCAAGGTAGCGCAGGATTGCCTCATCGAGGATCTCGAGTGCAAGATCGTGGTTTCCAGCGTCGTAGGGCAATCCGTGCTGAGGGGTATTGTGAGAGCTCTCTCGGATGAGTCTCTGGCTCTACTGGCCGAGAAGAATGCGGAGATTGGTCGGCTGGAGAGCGAGAAGAGCCGGGCAGCGGAGGAGAGCTCGTCGAAGATGAAGAAGCTTGCGTCGGAGTTTCTGGAAAAGATGAAGGAGAACGAGATGAGTCTGCTGGAGAAGGAGCGGGATCTGTCCAAGATGGCGGAGAACTTGATAGACTTGACGTTCCGGTTGCAAGGGGAGAGCCTTAACAGTGTTGCTCTCGAGAAGAAGATCAAGGACATAGTTGCTAGGGACTCCGGCAAGCAAAGGAGGATCAATGCTCTCAGCGAAGAGATCGAGGACTTGAAGCGGGAGAGGAGCTCAGAGGTTGAGATGCTCAGGAGTGAGATCAGGATCAAGGCGGCCAGGCACAGAGAACAACTGGAGGAGGTGGCTGCGGAGAACGAGGCCCTGAGAGAAGAAAACTTGGAACTAGTGTCCACGATTTCGGCGCTGGAGAAGGTGAACGAGGAAGTTTGCCATTTGATCGAAGCTCAGAAGGAAAGCATGGAGGCAATGGAGGGTCTCCAGTCACGTCTCGAGGAAGAGAGAACGCAGCATGAACAGGAGATAAACATTCTTATGGATGTTTACGAGGGGCAAGTCGAGGACTTTTATAGTCACAGGAAGGTGGAACATGAAACGGAGATGGACAAGGCTTCTCTCGGCACAGACGAGTCTGTTAGTATACCGGGTAGCGGAGAAAACACGATGTCTCAGCAACAGGTGGTGGACGAAATGACGAAAATGGCGATGCATGAACTAGAGAAGGAGATCATACTAGACTGCTTCACGGGCTTTTCTGAGGACATCAGGGACGCTGCGGACTTTGATCCGGGGAGGGCGCAAGGGACGGACATGGCTCGCCAGGGATCTTTGGAATTCCAAAAGTATGTTCGGTACTGCAAATCTCGAAGTCGAGCACGACTTCCCAGTACGACATATGTTCCTGAAGGGCTTATAGAACAACATCATCAGTACCAGATTGAATTGGACGTTCTTCTTGAATATTTTGTGAGGAAACTTCAGGAGCTTGCGAGCTCCGGTATTGGGAGGTCCGACTCGATTAGTACCGAAGATGTTGGAGGTCAAACCGTTTCGCAGGTTGCCGATCTTCAAAGAGAAAACGCAAAGCTACGAAGGGAAAAGGAACAGGTTTTGGTAGAGAAGACGGAGGAAATGTTCAGGTTGAAGCGGGATTTCTTCAAGGAGCTTGATAAACTGAAGCTGGAAGGCGGCCAGTACGAGTTTGGAATCTTGAAGAAGCAATTTGCTGATAGCAGACAGAAGCTGGACAGGATTCTGGACAAAAGGCAAGGTGATTCTTGTCAACCATCCCCAAGCGCTTGCATCGACGAGCACAGCGACACGGACAGTGTGTCGTCACGCAGTGAATCGTTTACGAATGACTACGGAAGATTCACGGAGGAGTTACCCGTTCTAGTTTCCGAGCTCCAAAATGATATTCAGCAGCTGATGCTGGACACTGGAATGGCCAAGCCAGATGACAGCACTCAAAGAACACAGTCAGATGTTCAGCACGACTTGAGTGTCTTGAGTATGGAATACGAATCTGCACTCAAAGCGCTAGAGGACGAGAAGCGTCAGAACTTCGCTTTCACGGTAGAACTTCAGGAGTTGGAACACAATATAAATCTTTCGAACGGGGAGCTGGAAAGACTCTTGAAGCAAATAGAGATGGAGAAGCAAGCAAGGATGAACAAGGAAGGGGAGTTGCAGAACGTTAAGCAGGACGCATGTCTGATCAAGCGGCAGTTAGACGTCGTGCTTGCTCAGCTAGAAACTGAAAGGGCTCACAAGACGCGCATAGGATCCGAGCTAGAACTTGCAACTCAACGGCTAGAATCACTACAGAAGGAGCTGAATGACGTGCTAAAAGTGAAGGCGGCAATAGCAGAAGATCACAAAAAACTACGTGGTGAAGTAAGCGCCCTTCATCGAGGAATTTTTGATACCCGCAACGATCTGCGACAATTCATCGAAAAAAATATGAAGACCGTAGCAGAGAATTTCGCGACTGTGGGACGAACACTTGAAGAAAATGATGCGAGGTTTGCCATTTCTATCTGTTACCACAGATTGACTTGCTGTGAAACGTGCAGAATCGCGAAGCTCAACAAGCGGATGGCGTCCTTGAGCAAGTACACGAAAGCGAAAGACGTTGATCGCAAACGGAAATTAAGCAACTACCTCAGAAATCTACGAAAGGCTGAGGAAGAGGTTGTGCTTTTTTGTGTTTTCCGTGAAGTTTATATGGAAACTTTGTAGGTGGACTTACTTGGTGACGAAAACGACTATCTTGTGAACTTGCTGGAAAGAGTTTTTGTAGCGCTGGAGCATTACTCCGCGGCTCTTCGACATTATCCTGGGGTAATTTCGTGTTTTGATGTTTCTCATTTTGATAGGGAATGTTTCAGATTGTCGATCTTTCGAAGCTGATAAAGGAGGAACTCGTGGCACGAGTAGAACACTAGCTACGCGAATATTCCGAGGTTTTGTTAAATAACAGACTGCTGACGTGGAACGCAAAGCTTTTGGCGTCTCGAAGCGCGGCAAAAGGTACTCAAAAGTTCAAGCGAAATGGGTTCTCAAATCTCTACTAGGTAGATTCTGCCAAAATGTCAGAAGAGGCGGAGGAGGAACTGTCAACGGCAAGCGAGGAAGAGCTTTCATCTGTAGGAAATCCCGTTGAAGGTCCAAACCAAAAACATGTAAGCTGTTTGTGAGAGTTTTCCATTGTTTCTTTATTCATTTATCGTGATCATTATGCAGCTGAAGGTGGTTCATAAGAACTACAGGGTAATCGAGAAGAGCAGGCAATCCTATCACAATGAAAGCGAGAACATCCTGCGGAAGCAAGAGGCTTTGCTCGCCAGTCTTGAAACAGAGAATCGAGGGATTCGGGAGAAAATCGAGACGTATTACATTCCGGTGCTGCTACTTTCCACTACATGGCAGTTTATCTGTGATTGACGGGAAGAGCTTTTTTGGTTTTTAGGATGTCAGTCGGCAAGCAACCTCTCTGCAGTCCGAGGCCGACAAGTTCAGTCAGATGGTCATATTTGAAGCCAAAAGGCTGGAAGGGCTGGAAGGCTCTTTGCGAGAATCATATGCTGGCTTGAGGGAAGCGAAGAAAAACATGGGAGGTATTTTCAATGCGAGGGATAAGTACAAGCAAGCTGTGATACGAGTTGCGATTACCGAAAACCGGCTGCAAAAGGTGCCTTTTCAGCTATATTATTATAGCGACCACTTGTTAATCTGGGATTTTTTGCTAGGCTGTTATCGACCTCAACGTGGTGAAAAAGCAAAACAAGCTTCTCCAGGCAAAGATGCAGGAGCTCAGTGAGGAGAAAGAGTTTTATGAAAACGTGCGTAAGAACATGGAGGCGGAAGTTGCAACTATGGAGGTTGCAATCGAGGAATGCATAAAGCAAAGCAATCTCTTTTACGAGGAGAGAAACGACTTTGAGGAGCGGATCACAGGTTATACCTTTCCTTTCCGGCGGTTACTAAGTTTGATTCGATGTTTAGATATCCACGAGATCGAGGCGGACATGCGAGCCTACGATTTGTGGAGAGAAACTGAAGGATGGGCTATAATGGATCCAGAGCCTTTGTCGAAAGTGGTCAACCCAGCGGATCAATTTGTAAGATGATGGTACCTGTGATTGCTCGTCTCAAGTTTCTTATTACGCTCATGAGTTTTTTGTTGGTAGTTCAGGTGACTGGCCAGAGGGGTAAACCACCAAAGGAATGCAGCGAAGAACAGAGGATTTGGATCGAGCTTAAGGCCCTGGCAAACATCATGGATGTACTTGGTATCGACGATCCCAACGAAGTTGTCAACTCTGTTAAACAAGCTCAGCGGCAAAATAGTGAGTTTTATGATCTAGTGAACCAGCTCCTCCAGGTAGATCCGGCTCGAAGAAAGTACTTGCATGATCTAAAGAGCTTTCTTGTGTCTCAGGTGGTGAATGAGGTCGATGGCAAGCTAGAACAAACCCAGGTGAAGATCAACGTGAACCAGACGTCACGCACGGCATTGATAAACCGCAAAGTCGACATGGAATCAACACTGGAGGGGATTCTCGACCTGTTGAAGGACCTTAATCTCGACGACGAGGAGCTTCTTCCGATTATAAGGGAGATGAGGAAGCAGCTCGGAGCTGTGTTCAAAGAAGCTGGTGTGTTTTTCTCTCCTTTTTCTTGGTTTCTAGATCTCTTTCTTCGTTTGAGAGCTAATGTTTTGGTGGATCTTAGGATGCAATGTGGAGGACGAAGAAATGGATTACTCGCAAGACTCGGTGGCGACGATCACGTACAAATCGGGTAGAGCACAGCCGCTGGAAGTTGCGATCGTCGAGTTCTTCGTCACCATCGAGCATTTCATCGATCAGTTGTCAGGAACTCTGCGTTAAAATCAATGCGCTCGTCAAGACTTTCTTAACTTGCACAACAAAGATTTCATGACTGACCGTGATCCACCGTAAAGAAAATTTCTTGTGGGTGGCTTATCTTAGATGCGTTGGTTGGATTGATTAAAAGGTGGAGAGATTTTAGGGCTCCTCCAGTTTGAATTTTTGAAGTTCCTTGACGGGTGGGCGCGTAAATGGCGACGGGCTCTGGAATTGCTGTGAGTGATATTAAGAGGCTCAGGTGGAAAACCTAAATGAGATGGAGAAGCGTGCCCAAGGACAACAGGGGCAATAAGGATCCCTTCGCTCGCCCATTGCGTCGCGATCCCATCCCTGCTGCGCGCGCCGTCACGTTTTACTTGCGGTAGATGATCTTCCGTTCCCCTTTGTAAGTGTGTCTGTTTGTTCTTGGATTTCTTGAAATCTCGAGTCTCTTTCTTGCTTGCGATCGAAGCTTTTGTCTCATTGCGGGATATATATTTCTCTCTAGGCGGAGCTGATCGACGCAAGGGAGCTTCGTTTCGTAATCTGGCCGATACCTCGCTCCTGGTGAGTGAAATCGTGGGAATGTGAGGCCTCGGTGTGATATGTCGATCGTTTCTCTCCAGATTGAGCTTCTGAGAGGAGCTTCTCTTCGATCCCTGACACAAGAAGATGCTAATCGGCAGCTATCTTAGCGCACAATGGCGATGAAAGCCCTGCCCTGCTGCCATGGATCGCGATCATCATCCATCAAGAGATTTCCAGCACGAGGAAGCACCTTTCTTTGGATCCTCAGAGATGGAGGTCACTGAATCGAATCCTACACCTATCTCTGGAGCTGAGGTGTTCGTGGAGCTAGCATCGCGACGCAGTGCTAGCGAGATCGAAGGCAAGGAAAATGGCATCGCTTCGTCGGCTCAAAGCTCCTCGGAGAGGACACACACGACGCCAGTCCAGGGGAAGATTGCGATCAGCAAGCCCGCGCGGCTGGGAGAACTTCTCAATAAGTTACGCAAGCTACAGCAAGAGGAAGAAGAGAGCCTGGATAAAGAGAAGGAGAACGAGAACGCAAGAGGTATCATCACCGGGTCAGTGCCTCGCATAGCATCAGCGCATCAAGTGGTAGATCTGGACGGGCTATGGAACTCCATCGACAAGTCGAAGCCGCTCATCCTGTTGCAGTTTTCGGACCTCACGTACACGGTCTACGAAAAACGAAGATCGAGGTGGCCATTTCGGACGACAAAGTCTTCCAGCTCCGCCATCCCGGAAGACAACCAAGCCAGGAACTTGCTGGAGAATGTCTCAGGAGAAGCAAGAGAAGGGGAGATCCTGGCAGTCATGGGTCCGAGCGGGTCAGGAAAGTCGACACTTATCGACGCCTTGGCGCTGAGGATTGCGAAAGGAAGCTTGAAAGGCAGCATCACGCTGAACGGGGAGGAAGTCGGTACCAGGCTCTTGAGGAGCATCTCGGCGTACGTGATGCAGGATGACTTGCTCTTCCCGATGCTGACGGTTCAGGAGACGCTCATGTTCTCCGCGAACGTGAGGCTGCCTCAAACACACTCACGGCAGAAGAAGGTCGAGAGAGTGAAGATGTTGCTCGAGCAGCTAGGACTCCAGCGTGTCGCCAACACCATGATCGGCGATGAAGGCAGGAGGGGTGTTTCCGGAGGGGAGAGGCGGAGAGTTTCCATTGGAATCGACATCATCCACGACCCGCTGCTGCTCTTCTTGGACGAGCCTACGTCGGGGCTCGACTCAACGAGCGCCTACATGGTGGTCAGGACACTCCAGAAGATCGCACAGACGGGAAGCGTTGTGATACTGTCGATCCATCAGCCAAGCTACAGGATCATGGGGCTGGTTGATCGACTCATATTCCTCGCTCACGGGCAGACGGTATACAATGGACCACCTTCGGAACTCGGCTCGTACTTCACGGCTTACGGAAGATCGGTGCCTGAGCACGAGAACAGCACCGAGTTTGCGCTGGATCTTATTCAAGAGTTGCATTCCTCGCCAGGAGGAATCAAGCCTCTCGTCGAGTTTTCGAAGCTCTGGACGTCCAAAGAGCTCAGGCCGGAGGAGATGCTGCTGTCCGCGCCGGCTGTAGACGTGAAAACGGCCATAAGCGTCAGCATTTCCAGGGGAAAACTGGTCGCAGCAAGGGCCCAGGCACACGATTGTGGCGACAGGTGCAACGGAGCAAAGGTGGCGAGGTTTGCGAATCCTTGTTGGGTTGAAATGCTCGTCATCATCAAGCGCTCCTTGATCAACATCAGGCGGACTCCGGAGCTCTTTCTCATGCGGCTGGGCACAGTTATCCTCACTGCCGGTCTGCTGGCAACGATCTTCTGGAACTTGGACCACAGCCCGAAAGGTGTCCAGGAGCGCTTGGGCTTTCTTGCTTTCGCCATCTCTACGACCTTCTACACCTGCGCCGACGCTCTGCCGGTCTTTCTCCAGGAGAGGTACATTTTTATGCGAGAGACTGCTCACAGCGCTTACAGGAAGTCGTCGTATGTGCTCGCAAACGCGATCATCTACGTACCTTTCCTCGGCTTGCTCTCCATCGCATTTGCGGCGACGATATGGTGGACAGTGGGACTGAGTGGTGGAGCGCCGGGTTTCCTCTTCATGTTCCTCATTCTCTGGGCATCGTTCTGGGCGGGCAACTCCTTCGTCACTTTTCTCTCCGCGGTGATTCCCAACGTTATGCTCGGCTACACCGTGGTCGTGGCGCTGCTCGCCTATTTTCTACTGCTCAGCGGCTTCTTCATCTCCAGAGAACGCATTCCCAGGTACTGGATCTGGTTTCACTACCTCTCCATCATCAAGTACCCGTACGAAGCTGTTCTCATCAACGAGTTTTCTCGAGACGGGGCTTGCTTCGAGACAGGGAAGCAGATACTGTACGGCACTCCTCTTCAAGACGTGAACGAGACAGCAGTGAAGATGATGCTGGCTATTGTGAGGAGTGCTCTTCAAGGCACCTCCTATGGCGACATCGACGAAGACACCTGTGTGATGAATGGGAGCGACGTTTTGCACCGGTTTTACATAACGCAGCTGGGGCGGTGGACGTGCCTGGGAGTTACGATTGGATTTGGCGTCCTGTTTCGGTTCCTTTTCTACGTTGCTCTTCGTCGAACCGGTGCTACCAAAAGACAATAAGCTCGCTGTAGCTACACCCAGGTAAAGTAATTCTTTCTTTGCTCGAGCTTGAATTGTTTCTTTCTTGTTTGCTAGCTCTATCTGACTTTATGTTCCATTTTTTCTTTTTCCAGAAAATGTGTTTGTCTAGCTCTAAAAGTCCTGCTATTGCTGCTCGTGTTGGTATTTGCAGCTTGGTTTCTTCATGTCGTCGCCGTTTGCTCCCAGCTGGTCGATTTGAATGTTGCATAGTGCATTGTTATACATTGTCTTGGTAGTGTTCTCCTCGGTGCTGTTGTCACTGCTGCTGTTTCTATAGATCGCGTAGAGGCTGAGTTGAGCGATGCCCGAGAGACAACCAAGTCCGTTTGGTATCTAACAACAACAATTTGTTTTTTGGTTTCAGATTCTCAAGTAACATCGAAAAACTACAAAAAAAAAAAAAAAAAAAGAGGGAAGGAAGAACACTTACAGCAATGAAGATATCCCGAGTTACAACGGCATAGAAGGTCCACACCAAGCTGTTGAGGAAAACGAAGAGCGACAATAGAAACGGCATGTACTGGACGCTTCTGGTTTGGATCACTCGCTTCTACGCAAGCCAGCAACAAGGACACGGTTAGAAGGAAAGATGAGAGACTCTGCGTCGTCACCATGACAGTCAGTGGAGAGATGTACATCGCAATGGCCACCGCGACGCAGACGGATCCGACCACGGTTATTCTCTCGTCGTGGGTGTCAGCAAGCTTGACCGTGGTGAGCGTGATCAGTCCAAATGCTACAGCCACGGCACCCAGCATCTTCAGCACCTTCACCTGCAGTACAGATTTTCACCGAGAAGTTTAGACCGGGTCCGGAAACGCGAAGAAGGGATTCCAACCAAGGTGGTCCTCGGAAAGTTGCAAGTATACCATCTTGGCTCTGGTGGCATAGGAGAGGTAGAGGGCGGTGTAGACGAGCTCGATCGCGCAGCCGGCGGCGTTGATGGTGATGATGAGCATGCTGTGCGGCTTCACGAACGGCATGCCGTAGAGGATCCACAGCATGCAGTTGAAGAGCGTGCAAACGTACGGCAGGCCCGAGTACTCCTGCGTGGATTTGCTCCGGACGATCTCCCAGAACGTTGGCCTGCGAAGATAGATCCAAGTTTCCACTCTCAGGTTTGCTTGATCTCTGGAAGTTTTTGATGATCTGATGGATGATACTTACAGTGGTGCTCCAAACAAAGCAACAGCAGTGGCATTTCCTGAGAGGGAGAGAGATGGATATAGTGGAATCCTCAGAGCTAAGTTTGTGAGTTTACTTACCGAGAATGCCCAGTAGGATCTTCATGTTGAGTCCCATGATGGTTTGTTCGTCGTTCGTTTTTTCTCGTTTTCCTTTGTTCGTTGCTTTGGATCGATGGATATCGATCGATTAGAACTCGAGCGAAGTTATCATCGCTTATATATTCCTTTGATTGCTTTTCTTTACGTGAGGCACTGGGTGTGCAACGCTCATAAAAAAGGTTTAACGCTTCCGTGATTCTATCAACTAGAACTTGTAAATCTGTCCATCGCATTCCAGGACAAAACCATTATCAATTTAACGGAGGCGAAGAACCCTAACTTTCAAATTTACTTTGCCGCCAAGGAACAGTTAAAGTTTCGGTTTTAAACTGGATGGAAATGGCGGTAAAATGGATTCTCCTCTTTCTTTTGCAAGCGCTGTTATGGAATCCATCCATCAACATGACGACCATCTCCAAGAGCGATCTTGATGTGTGCGTCAACACGGGCGATCCCAATGCCATCCAGTGCAAGAAGAAGATCTTGGTCACGGTCGCGATTCCATCGGGCGATGTAAGCTCCAAATTTCTAGCTAGGGTTCTGGAAATTTTGCCCTTGGCTCTTCCAGGGGGGTAATGGCGAGGCGCTCATCGCCGAGGTCAAGGATCCGACGAGCCGCGACGGCAAGCAAGTGCTGGAGAAATCCATTTCCGTGAACATCGCCAAGACGGACAGCATTGTCAAGTACGCGCTCGAGTACCTGAAGGTGAGGCCTTGCATTTCTTTACTTTTGGCTCTTTTTCTTCCTCTCGAAGAGCTCTAGTGCGAGAAGAGATTGGATGAATAGAATGTTGCAGGTGATCTAAATGAGCGCGTCATCAAGAAGAAGAAAGGCTGCAACACCAAGCTCAACGATAAAGCAACCTGTGGAGTGTAAGAACTATCCTTTCAGATTTTCGGGTAGATCCATTTGTGACACTGACTCTTTTCCTGTGTGATCTTCTCCATACAGACTGGGCGATTCAAAGGGAAACGTTGTACCAGGAAGCTCAGTAAGTTTCGTTTGGAGTTTTTTCTGTCCTTTGATTTTTCAGCCTTGCCTTTTGCAGGGCTTTTGCTGTACATGCAAGCCACTCAAACAAATCAAACACTTTCGAGGAATGCCCAAGCCTGGTCATTGCGGTATAAGTGACGCTGGCTATGCATTTTGCCTTCGCTTCGGCCAAATGTGGTGAGTTCTTCTCCCTCTGTTGGTGTTATTTTTCTTTTGCTGCGTGATAACGCACCAAGGCTTCTGTAGGTGTGTCATGTTTCGCATCCGAACTGGTACCATTAGTTTCGAAATAACAATCACACTCACGGATCAAAACGGGAACAAGGCGAGTTCACGGATAATAGGTTTCGTCTTGAGGCTCACACTTCTCGTGCCAGGAATTTGTCCGTCTGAGTCCCTCTGCGATGTCCGCGATTAATGGTCCCAGGACCTTTATTGCCTACCTTATTGGAGATCTGGGATCTTACACACAAATCCCGGTTTTGGATGGAAGGTATCTCTTCGTACCAAGGGTACGTATACATATCAGGTTTGCAAGTCTTGCTAGTTTCTCACGTGTAATGCTCGTCCAGGCTGAGAAACCAGACGGTAACTGGCAACAGTTTACAAGGGTAGAGAAGCGTCCTCGATGCATTCATAGTTTTTCGTGAAGACTAAACTTGTGAGCAGGGCAGTCCAAGGGCGGATGGCAGATTGTGGATGCTCGTAGATGAGGCTAGAGTCACGTTAACTGGATCAGCATGCGACAAGATTGGACTCTCTTGCCTGGGTTATGCTCAGCAGCCGAGAACTTGCGACGGGGCTTTGGGGATGTGCATCGGTGAACAGCTTATCGATTTCATCAAAGTACGTGCTTCTCTAACTTTGTTTTCTTTTTTAATCCTATGTGAGCTTTTAGGAAGACTTGGCAGCTTTAGGCAAGGGTCGGCTTGCCATCCATGGTCTGTTTCGATATGGATCATACAGGGTAAGCGAATTACACACACGCTACTGTTGCATATACAGTTTGAACTGCAGAGCTTGGTACCAGATGCGCTCCAAATTGCTGTCAGCCCAACAAATTCGCTGATAACCATCGAGATTGCTGCTGATAACGTGTCATTCCGGAGAAACAAGTTCGTTCGCTCATCCTTCTTTCCTTCCAATTTTTCAAGATGAAAATTGTGCTGTGAAGTTTATTGGTTGCAGGAGTACTGGAAAAATTGTCAAGGTTGAGGTGCCGCCTTTTGAGGCAATGTCCACCGGCGGGACTCTGACGCTTACAGTGGTGAATGACGGATCACTGGAGGCGTCCTATGGCGTGTATGTGAGTACTTGCTTTAGAAGCTGCACGGCGAGGCTTTTAACTCTGGTCTCTTCTGTAGGTGGAATGTTCGGCAAACATCAATCCTTTGGAGGTAAAGAAGTTTCTCTTCTCTCACAAACTTCCACCGTTCTCTGTTTCCTGATTAGCATTTTGATGCAGGGAAAAAGGGTTTCCATGATACCCAATGTTCCTCAAACTTTTTTATATACATTGATAACGAGGAGCACAGATGCAACGAAAAACTCCTGCATCGGTATTGCATTCAGTCTCTTTATTTTCAATCTGTTTGTTTCTTGCTCTGCAGTGACACTCCGTGATTCCGAAGGAGAAAACTGCGATGTCAAGGAGGCCAAGTTCTCCACCACCGCTACCGTTTTCAATAACGGCTCGCAAGTGGTATGTGTGCACAGTGATCCACCACTTTTTTTCATGAATTGATTTTGTGGCTTGTAACCAGGGTGGAGTTCAAATAGCAGGGTCAAAAAACGATACATTCGCGAAAGGACTAGGTGGTTTGGGTTTCTTTGGAAAGATTGGAGCGGGAATCAAAGGAATTGCCAAGGGCGCGTTCAATGTCGTGACATCTCCCTTCAGGAAAATGTTTGGTCTCTTCAACAATCTGCTCGGCAAATGCGAGTAAGCAAACCATTCATTCATTTAGCGTTCGTTCTTGTATAACTTTTCCATGCAGCAACTGCCCTGGAGCGTTCGACATTGGATGCTTCATTGCTCACTTTTGTGTCAAGAAGATCCTCTTCTTTGTAGGAGGCATTGTGGCTGCAGCACTGGGTAAAGTTCCGAGTTGATCACACAGTTCTCCGGATCTCACTCGGAATTTCTTGCAGCTTTCTATGTTCTACTTTTGCTTCAGGGCATGGGGATCTTGACACCACTCTGTGGCTGCTGCTGCTTGCCTCTAAAGATCATGCTCTCAGTGCGTCCATCGCTCGGCGGCGGCGGCGATGGAGGCGAAGAACCGGCGACGCCAAAGGCAGCGAAGGCGGTGCAGCCCGAAGAGATCGACTACGAAGGCATTTCATCGCTCTTTGACGAGGAAGAAGGCCATGAAGAACAGGAAGAATACGAGGAAGAAGAGGGAGATTTCCAGGAGGAAGAAGGAGACGAAGACGAGGAGGACGAGGAGGAAGAAGACTAGCAAAAGTTTCAAATTTCAAAATGATTCTTAGAATATTCTTATATAATCCTAGCCATTGGTTTTTAACGGCGGATGTATAATCGCAGTGCAACTAACTAGGGCTTTCAATCGAGCTCCAAGCGCCGGGCGCCATCGCCGTCGCCATGAAGATCGAGGATGTCCAGTCCACGACGAAGAAGCAGCGCATAGCTAGTCACAGCCACATCAAGGGCCTCGGCCTCCAGGTACGTGATCGATCGCTGTAGCAGTGTGAGGAACGGAAATATTTCCAGGACGATGGGACGGCGCTGGGAATGGGGTCGGGATTCGTCGGCCAGGAGCAAGCTCGCGAGGCGGCGGGGCTTGTTGTGGAGATGATCCGCGGGAAAAAGATGGCTGGTCGCGCATTGCTGCTTGCCGGATGCCCTGCTTCCGGGAAAACAGCCATCGCATTGGGCATAGCTCAGGAGCTAGGCAGCAAGGTTTGTTTCAAGCTCATTTCTTCTCTTTCCTTCATACAATGGGATTTTTGTTCTGTGGTTCCAGGTTCCATTTTGTCCAATGGTGGGATCGGAGGTTTTCTCTTCCGAAGTTAAGAAGACCGAAGTTCTCATGGAAAACTTTCGTCGCTCGATCGGCCTGCGTATAAAGGAGACGAAGGAAGTTTACGAAGGAGAAGTATGTTTCCATTCTAACATTCATTCTAAGCATTTTGTTTCTTCGCTTTTTCTTTTTTAAAGGTGACTGAATTAACTCCAGAGGAGACCGAGAGTACCACCGGTGGCTACGGCAAAAGCATCCACCACGTGATTATTGGTTTGAAGACTGTGAAGGGCTCCAAGCAGCTTAAACTCGACCCCGTTATATACGACGCTCTTATAAAAGAAAAGGTGATGGTTTCCAACGGTTTTGCTCTTTGCTGGTTTTGAAACTGTTATCGTCAGGTAGCAGTGGGAGATGTCATCTACATTGAAGCCAACAGCGGTGCTGTGAAACGAGTTGGACGAAGTGATGCTTTCGCGACTGAATTCGACCTTGAAGCGGAGGAGTATGTTCCTCTACCGAAAGGAGAGGTTCACAAGAAGAAAGAAATCGTTCAGGTACTAACTGTGAAGAAAGGGTCCAGTTTCTCTTCACACAGCAAGTGTGGGTGTATGTAGGACGTCACACTGCATGATCTAGATGCTGCAAATGCGCGTCCTCAAGGTGGACAAGATATTCTTTCCATGATGGGACAGATGATGAAGCCGAAAAAGACTGAGATCACTGATAAACTACGGCAAGAAATCAACAAGGTTAGCCGGTGTTCGTCAGCTCTCCTGTTTTGAGGATTTTCTATTGTCTAGAGGATTATGTGTGGGATCTTTGTGGCAGGTGGTTAATAGGTATATTGATCAAGGAGTGGCGGAGCTTGTACCTGGTGTCCTATTTATTGACGAGGTATGTCTTGCGCTTTGTAAATTCTGAATTGTGAGGAGTAACTTTTGTGATGTAATGCTTGTCGTCTAGGTACACATGCTGGATATGGAGTGCTTCACATATCTGAATCGCGCTTTAGAAAGTTCTCTAGCACCTATAGTGATTTTTGCTACGAATCGGGGTATCTGTAACATCAGGTAGTTGCCCATCTCCTGTAAGCTAGCACGCTGAGCGAATATTTTTCCAATGGCAGGGGGACGGACATCAGTAGTCCACACGGAATACCGGTCGACCTATTGGACCGCCTTGTGATTATTCGAACACTTCCTTACACTCCTGCTGAGATGGTTCAGGTATCTCGACTTTTAAACTAAGTTCTACTGGTGAAGGCAAGTGCGCTTTATGCTATTTCAGATACTAGCAATTCGTGCGCAAGTTGAAGGACTTACCATCGACGAGGAGAGCTTGGCGTTCCTGGGTGAAGTCGGGGAGAAAACGTCGCTGAGGTAAGCCTTCTAGACACATCTCGTGTACTTGGAACCTCATGTAATTTTAATGCGTGTACAGGCATGCTGTGCAGTTGCTGACCCCGGCCTCTATAATAGCACGTACAAACGGGCGTGATGAAATTGCTAAGGTAAAAATGGCCATAACTTGTGTGTGATCTGCTGGAGATCTTAGCAAACAAGTTGCTGATATTGCAGGGGGATTTGGAGGACTTGGTAGATCTCTTCTTAGATGCGAAGGCGTCTGCGAAGCTGCTTCAAGAGCAGCCCGACAAGTACATAAGCCAGTAGTAGGAAGGAGAAGCGACCGGAATTTTTGCTGTGCCGCTCAAGGGTGTGAGTTCCGTTTGATATACTTCTAGTCCTTGACACCGCATTGTACGTTACAGACTTAGATTGCAAAGGTTTGCGCAGAGTTTGCTTTTACTGAAAGTTACATCAAATCAACGACAAAATGGGGGGGTTTCGTTAAAGAAAGACACTATCAACAACAGGCAAATGACTCCATCCTGCAAAGTTCTGGGTTTGGCCGGTTAATCTTCACTGGTTATCAGCAGGAGAAAAATAATTTTTGGGGGATTAGCAGGAAAAGAGGAAGCAAGAGGAGGTTCTCTTCTTCGGTTGTGAGACTAGTAACGATCTCAGAAACGAGGCCTTCAATACGAGCAGCGGATGTGATTCAGCAACTCCAAGTGGAGAGAGCAACCAGGGGCTTGTCGTGCCAACTTAGAAACAGGGAGCCGTGCTGGTTCTCCACCAGAAGCCGGTACCCGTCAGCAGGATAGTGCAACCGGAGTAGCAGCTTTGCCTGAGCAATCGCAAAATCGCTGGGTGGTACAAGTTGGAACCCTGCAGCCTCCATGTCTCGTCTCCAATTGCCGAAGCTCTGGTGCCGGACCACAGCCAAGTTCTCGTCGTCGCCACCTCCGTCCTCGAGGACAATGCCGGATATTTCTTTGGCCAGGACAAGCCGCTCAATCATCAGCCGCTGGGGACTTCGCGGTGGCAGTGTAGCTTCCAGGGAGTCGAAGACAGCCGCGTAGTGGTCCAGCGTCACCAGGAACCTCTCGAGGAAGCTCTGGCTCAGGTCGTGCTCCGACTCCTTCTCCGCGACCGTCAGGATCCGGGGGCACAGCGATCTCATAAACTCTAGCGCGTGGGGCAGTGCCGCACGGTGCGCAGCCGGCAGCAGCTTGTGCAGCTGTGTCATGCAATTGACGACGAGCGCCTCGCCGCGGCGGAGCTCGAGGTGCTGCTGGAGCGAAGCCACGACATGGCGGCTGGTGGTACAGACCGCGTCGAATTCGAAGTCGAGATGGAGAGTTCGTGCGAAGTCTCGCAGCCTGGCTCCAGTCTGCTCGAGGAGCGAGATCGAGGGACCGGTGCCGGTGATTCTCAGCGTCAAAGTGGTGGACGAGGACGAGGACGAGGACGACAACGTTGGTGGCTCCTCGCCGTGAGCTTGACGGCCAACTTCGGAGGATTGCTCTTCGTGCTCTAGCGAACTTGGCGACGAAGGTGGTGGCTGTTGCTGCTGCTGTTCTTCCTCCTCGAGCTGCTTGAGCCGCCGCCTCTCAACCAGAGCTTGCATCAGCGGCGGCCACTGGAGACCCTGCATGATCCCGAGGTCGACAATGTGGACGGCTCGCTCGTTGTCGACGGCTTCCAGGATGGCCTGATTGGCGCTGAGGTGTGAGAAGCGGATGAAAGGCGTCACCTGGTTAAGAGCGAGATAGGCCTCCTCGGCTCCGCCCGAGTAGTAGAACAAGTCATCCTCGAAAGATGGCGGCGGCTGGTCCTCCTCGAGCAGGAAGTGGAGGTTGTTCAAGCGGAGTAGCGACCGGATTTCCGAGGCGCAGGGAGCGGACAGCGAGCAGAGGCATCGAGCGAGCGCAGCGGAGAAGTAGAAGGCGAGGCGCTCGACCGCATCGCCGTGCGGGGAGGCCGCGCGGCTCAGGTGGACGAGGCAGCGGATAGCTCGGTGCCAGTCGGAGGACGTTACCGCGGCTGCACACTCGACCAGCAACTCCCGCAAGCCACCGTCGTTGTGATGAATCCCAGCTCCGCCGCTGCTGGCTCCGCCTACTCCGAATCCAAATCCAGTCCCAGCTCCAGCTCCAGTTCCTGTTCCTCCTGTGTGGCCGAGGAATTGCGGCTGCTCCTGGTGGTGATGCTGGTGAGACGATGGTGGCTGCTGTTGCATCTCATGGAAGACAAGGCAGAGCTGCTTGTTTTGCGACGGTGGCTCTTGGTAGCACAAGAGATGGAAATATTGCATTCCAGCAGCCGCAGGAACTTTGGGATCTCGAGAAACTTTGCTTCGATCAATGACGCCAGTGACGACGACTAAGAGTTCGTGATGATGGCCAGCGGCCAGCCAGCGTAAGACGAAGAAGAAGATGAAGCAGAAGGCCTCGAGTTAATGCTTAGAGGAGGAGCAAGAAAAGGAGGAGGACGAGGAGAATTGATGGGCCTGGAGCCTAGAAAGCAGAGCGGTATCATAGCTACTCACCACCGTGGCAGTAGCAGCAGCTCTTCTTCTCTCGTTTCGCTCATCCTCGTCGACGGCATCGTTCGGACACCACCTTTGGTCGGGATTGATCTCCGCAACGACGAAGAGACGGTCGATCGATCCCGTCACTCGAGTGACACTGCTGCTGCCAACGTTCCCCAATTCCCGCCGCATCGCATCGAATTCGCAGCTCCTCGACTCATGCAAGTAAGAGCTCTCTCTTTTCTTTCTTTCCTGCGTTCGTTCTCCCAACTTCTCGTGTTGGTGGAAGGAGAAAGTTCGCGAGTAGCCTGGCTTGCAAGGGATATCGGAGATCGCTGGTGGAGTGGCCCCTTGGTTGCTTGGTTCTGTGACCAATCACTCAACCAATCAATCAATCAATCAGTCAAGCAATCAATCGCTACCCTGTGGAATTTGGAGCAAAACGAAGGAGAAGAACGAAAAAGGGAGGAAGAGAGAAGGAGAGAAGATCTACCTTGGCTTTCACGAATAAGCAAACTCTGATGGAATGTTTCACGAATTGGGAGTAGGACACCAACAAGAAGAATCGTCCAAGAGCTCCTCCAAACAAACAGTGACTGTGGAGTGATGGGAGTGAGCGAGGAGTAGTAGTAGTAGTAGTGTGGAGGAGGGAATAAAGCTTCCCATTTCCCTATCCATCTTGTCTATCTATGTATGTATCTCTGTCTAACAAGGTAGTGATTCCGTGAGGCGTGAAACAATGAATGCCAAAAAGAATGAAATATAGGGGGGGATTCTTTCTCGTTGGCATATTCGTGGCGCGAGAAAAAAAAAGGTGGCATTTTCCTTCCTTTTTTTTTTGAGGGTCACACTTTAAGTGCCAAAGACAAAGCTTTTGTGTCTTTCCAAGCAGGAATTCACTTGGGGGGTGAGGGTTAAAAAATTGTTTTACTGGACATTTTTTTAACTAGCTCCTGGTGTTTTGGATTCCAAAGGTGGCTGGCTATACCTTTCACCTCCATTCCTTAAACAAATAAATGCCCAGAGGGCAGATTTTTTGTTATCAAAATGCCTTTAACAGTTTGCTGGCTAACTGTGTGACACACACATCACATATTTACATTTGTCCATACTTGACAATGATCCAAAGCTTTCACGCAAATGTAGAGAAAGAAAAAAAAAAGGTAGAAAATACGTATCGCCTTGAAAACGACGACAGGGACGACTACGACCACAAAGGGAATCATTGCCCGATATTGGCCAAGCATATTCCTACCCCGTCCCAGTGGCCGTTGACAAGGAAGCAAAGCACTTGGTCAGATCAGATTGATTGGCCAAAGAGTATCTCGCGTGTGTGAAGTGTAGACTTTTAATCTAGATTTGGGGTGACGTAACCCAAATGCCTAAGCTAGGCATCTGTGAGTGAGCCAAAACCTCACACACTATAGAGATGCTTCCTATGTGCATTGAATTGTACAGATTATAGCAAGACAACTACGGCCTAGTCCAAAACTGAGAGTTTCAATCGATTCGGTTGTCTGGGTCTGATTTAGTTCCAGCCGAGCCAAATCTCACTTAAGCTCCCATCTATAATACGTATCTCCTACAAACCCTAGAAAACGAGAGCTTGGAGAGGTTCATGCATGCACCCATGATTAATAACTTACTTGATGTGCTCCCCCCACGAGATCAAATCTCTTGTTTGACATTGTTTTCTCGGAAGTTTCACTGTGACAATTTTTACGGTACGGACAAGCGCAGAGGATATTCTTTTCGCGGGCGCTTCTTTGGGCCAGTGGCGGGTGGCCACCCGCCGCTGTACGACCTAGGAGGGAATCTCTGTCTGGCCGCGCGGCGGCAGATGCCGATTCCAAAAATGAGTGAACACCAACTGCTATACCGAATCGAATCACACACCGTGTGTCTAAAGTTGATTCCATATTGTTTGTAATCGCGCCAGCCAAGCGAGCAAGATTTGAATATATGTGTGATACTATGCAAGATGCCCAGCAAAGAAAAAAAGGGCCCCTCTATCGCTATTCGAAACTATGACGCTCGTATGATTCTAATACAATAATAAGCTTCTGGGACGAACGAACTAACAAACAATGGGTTGATGCATGCGTCACCCTTTGGAAAGAAAGCATAAAAATAAGAGTTTGGCACGACTGAAGCAGATAACCTCGATCTTAAAAACTAGTCCATGCATGTGAGATCTGGATTAAGTTAGCAGGAAGGAATCTCGGATTTTCTCGGACAAAATAAAATTTTTATTCGATTTGGATCGTTTGCGTGACCATGGATCCAGAGCCAGCGCTGGCACACAGCCCAAATCCTCGCACAGGAACATATCACCTTTTCAACTATTCTTCCAGAGACTTTCGCGTTGATCCGCCCTTCCAAATATCATCTCGCCCGGGAGAGTTTCCTCTTTTTAAATTCCCAATCGCCATTCTTTTCCTTTGTTGCTTTGAACGTTCGCAAAGATATTTAAGTTGGGGAGCACTGCAAAAAGAAGAAAAAGCACTGCACAACATGCTTTGAGTCACGTACAAAGTCCATCGCCGAGCATTATTGGAATAACTTACAGAGATGTGAGAATCTTTTTCTGCGCCCGACCGCCCCTCCCGAAGGGTCAAGCGTTGGGCTTTTGCGTTGCTTCGTCTGGAAACTCAAAGTTTGGCCCTTAGACACACAACACAAGAGTATTATAAGAAAACGAGGGAGCTTACCTCGCTAAAACCATTGCACTTGACCCTTTTCCTTGTGGAGCTCCGCAAGTTTAGGAGAGAAAACTAATGGCGAGTGTGGTGTGGTCGGCGGCGGGCAGTAAAAATATATAATGTTGTAGCCGTCTGTCGTTGTTCTGATTCTGTGCCTCAAACCGGAGATTGAGCGAGCTGCATCAAAATAAAAGCTGGGGGAAGAAAAAGAGTAAGGAACTGACTGACGAAGTTGGCGAATGATAAACTCCCGACTGAAGAAGAATGCAATGCAGAAAAAAGATAAAAGAAAAGAAACGAACCTGTTGTTGTAAATGCGTAACCTGGTGCAATCTGGTCGCGCGAGTAATGCCGGGGAATGCGAAGTGAAGTAGCAGCAGTGGTAGTAGTAGTAGTAGTGGTGTGTGTGTCGCTGTGTCTTCCAGTTGGTTTGCTGTGTAAGTTTGGCCATTGAATGCGGCCTCCGGATTGCGATAACTTGATTGGTGCCTCGCTCTCGAGGCGCAGGGGCCAGTCCAGCGGGTATTAAGTTCCGCCTTGCAGCCATGCCTTTCCGGATGTAGATTGGAAGCCGAGGAATAAAACGATACTCCACAAATTGCCTGCCTCTGCAGAAAACAGCCCCGGCCATAATCAGCTGTGGTCCATGAAGGCTCGCGCGACAAATCGTTTGAATGTCTTTGAGCAGCAGCGGCCCCTGTCTTTGAGTTCGAGTGACATGGATCCAAGGCCAATCCATCCAAACTCTGGGTGACATGCCTTTTTCGCCTTTGTCTCGGTGTCATTGAATATGGGACGTCAGGAGCGAGCAGCAAGACCTGGAAAAGACAAGAGCGAAAGAAAGAAACAGTGGTTAATTGCGGAATCACAGCGAAAAGAATCTGAGAAGCAAGTAAAAACTGGTTTATCTTTTCTTTCCCTGCTCTTTTCTCTTTGCCTAGGAACTTACGATGCTGCGTCGTAGCCAGCCAGATACACGGACACATCGTGGCGATGGTGATGGCATGTCGGTCACAGGAGCATCTTCTTACAAGTTACGAGAGAGGTTAGCTGGTCGTAAAGTAAAGAGTACCGGAAGAGAATGTACACCGCAGACGCAGGCACCACACGAAAAGCAATCGGCAGCTTGTGCGGCCACTCAGCTCTCTCGGCACCAGTAGTAAAACAAAAGCGCCAAAGCAAGTCTCAGTCCCTCAAGTTTGAGTCTGCGGGAAACAAACAAGCAAACTTCATGAGTGAATGAATCTGTACTAAGCCCCGGCCAGCAATCAGACAAGGGACGATTCCATTTAATGGGCACCATAAAGAAAAGCAGATGGGGCTGGTTCAAGCCTGGCCTGTTGTTTCTTTGCTCCTCTGAGCTGGGGCGAATGGGGTGGAGTAAACTCTGGGATTGACTATAAACAAAGGCAAAGAGAGAAGAAGAGTAGCAGAAGATTCGAAGTACAGAAGAAAGTGAAATAAAAAGGACGCATATGAGGAGGACAGACCCCAGACCCCAAGGAAAGTGATACAACCTCCACTTTGCGAAGGCACCATTCTACCGACACCACGCAGGAACAAACAAAATCTGAGCATCGCAAAAAGAAAGACGGAAAGAAAGAAAAACCCCTGGACTGAGCCGAGAGACAGGACACGAATGATAAAACCCACTCCAACTTACAAGAAAGCTCCAGAGTTTTCCAAATCCCTCCCAAGCCATCCCTGGAGAGAGATCATGATTAGCAATTGTTTGTAGCAGAAAAGATAATATAAATACCAGATGGTCCTGAAAGCAGCTGCGCCAAGCTTGTCAAAATCATTTGCGCGGGAGGCTGACGTTCTCAAAAGATGGTGGTGGGTCACGACTTTGGAGCTGTGCATCTGGGCTATAGATCTCCACGTACTTCTTCTACGCTCGCTACAGCGTCAGCAGTGATATGCGCTCAAAGACACCGACCCCTTTTAAGTGAAGGCGCCAGGGGGCCGTAGCCACCAAGTTCTAAATGGAGCCACCTCTTTTCCTTTTTTTTCGATCCCCACCATCTCCAACCCCACCCCCCTTGAGTTTTGCTCCCATCTGTGGACCAGCAGATGTGTTAGCAGGCGAGAAAGTGAAAGATAAACAAAACAGAAAACAATGCAAACAAGAGCATAAAATACATACAAGCGGGAGAGAAAGAAAGAGGGACTGAACTCTAAACCCGCACTTGTCCATTTCATGACACCGAGAAGGTGTAACTCCATGGTCAAGCGGCCCAGACGACTTCTAGACACATTTTAAACAATTTCTCGATACGTAGCTTGCAGAGACGATTCCATGACACTACTGGGGATGCATTTCAGAAGCAGTTTCGATATGATGCAGCAAAGCATAGAAGGAAAAAAAAAAAAAACAGAAAAGAAATATATCTATCACCATCCAGTCATCCCTTTGGGAATGCCAGCTAAAATATTACTCACCTGAATAAAGACGAGGGAGCTTTGTATGTACCCTCTCTGTTGCTTTCGCCAAATTGATTGCCCGAGAATATGCCCACACTCCTGCTGTGAAGCTCCACTTTTGAGCTTAGCTTTTAAGTCAACGAGCCAGAATAGCCCCGCCCTCTCGCATGGATGGCACTGAAAAACACGTGAATCAGCGCTGGAAAAGAGATGGCGTGCTTGATACTTACAAGCCCAAGCACTCTCTTACTTATGTTCTTTCTCGGCTCAGCACTTCTGCTGTTAGTCTTCCGATTTTGCGCCTTAATGCGAAAGCAAAGCACGCGACAAGCCCGCCCCTGGTAAGAAAACAAAAAACCGTTTCAAAGTATGATCCAAGCAGTAACAGTTCATCGTGCTAGATGCTACGCCCTGACTTTAGGTGCCACATAAAAAGAAAGGATTGCTTGTGAATCTTACCAGCTGGATTTCATGGACGGACGGACACCTTCAATGCCTCCCTGACACAAAAACACAAAGAGCTCTTTGTGACAAAACAGTGATCCATACATCAATACTTCTTGATAAAAAAAAGAGAGAAAGTACCTGTAGCATCTCTCTCGCCTTGTTGCAAAGGTCGTCTTCCAAGTCGTTATCAGCAAATACAGGAGAAAATACCTAAAGCACACGTAGCGTAAGCCATTGCTATTTGCTAATGAGCAACGACGGACCCTGATAACCAGAACAACGAAGCAAAAGACGCACACTTACTGACTTCCGTGAGTGACGACGCTGTGAATGACGCGATCATTGAGTAAGTGCAGTAGCACCGTCAGATAGCAGCTACTAGAGCAGTAGCATACCATTAGTAAGACCACAAACAACAACAAAAAATAAAATCAGATGTGCACAACAGCACGCCCGTGGAAATTTCAAACCTGGAGGATTTGTTTCTGCTCGCATTGGTACAATAATCAATTCTCGTGTCTATATGCTGCACCTGTACAAACAACCAGTTCGAGCGTCCTTACCAAGACACGAGAAAAGAAAATAAAAAGATTTACCTTTCGAGATGTGAACTGGAACTTCAAGTAAACCTTTTCAAGCAATAACACCAGAATACTGTACAGCGTGATCCAAATTCCGGAGCAAAGTAGAGGCTCATTGCCGAAACTCGCACTTAATAGTTCTGGGGTTTCTGGACCAGCTGCAAAAAACGATATCACTTCATCCAGGAAAAAAGAGTTTAGAATGCACACTTACCAATAGAAAGGTAAAGAGCTTTCCAAAGTTCTGAAATTTTTGAAATCTGGATCCTTCGAAGTCTTCAGATCCTTCACTGTGGACAGGACGATCTTCGCGATTTCTACCGAGGAAGTCCTGCAAAAACAAAATCTTGACAAGTTGACGAGAAACCTGATTTGATTCACTTTACCTGTGAAGCTAGAAGGTGGTCGCCAACGAAGATGATATCATTGTTTGCAATCACTCCATCTTCTCGGAATAAATGTTATGGAGCAGCTTGAACGCAGCACAATTCCCTGGATCCAAACCAAGAACACGCTTGGCTGCATTAGCCGCAAGAGAGACGTCGCCATGGATCTTACACGCCGCCAGCAACGCCTTCCACTCCAAAACACCGTTGAAGCTCATCTTCTTCGCCGCCACCTCGGCCTCCTTCAATCGCCCAGCTCGACCAAGAACATCTATCAAGCAGCAAAGCTGCTCCTTCATGGGCGTCAAGGCGTGATCGCTCCACATACTCGAGAGATAGTGCAAGCTGCGATCCAAGTATCCGGCATGGCTGCAAGCGTTTAGAACTCCCGTGAAAGAAACCCGGTCCGGATCCACACCCAGCAACACCATCTCGTGGAAGAGCTCCATGGAATCCCGGCAGTGCCTAGAGCTTCGCCCACTCTCACAGATAATCGCGTTCCAGGCTACCAATTCCTGCCCAGGCATCATAGCGAACAGCTTCTTGGCCTCTCCAATTTCCCCTTTCTGGGCATATGCTACCACCACAGCCGTCCAGGACACAGCATTCCTCTCGCTCATCAAATCAAACACATACCTCGCATGCTCAAGCGAGTCATTCTCGCCATAGCCGGCAAGAATTGTGTTCCAGGAAACGAGATCTTTCTCGGGCAATCCCGAAAAGACGCTCTCGGCAGCAGCCATATGCCCGGACCGGGCATAGACCGCGATCATCGCATTCCAGGCCACCACGCTCCACTCCGGCATCTGATCGAGCAAGCTCCTCGCCTCGTCGATCTTCCCGGCACTGGAATACGCCGTCATGATCGCCGTCCAGGAGAAAACGCTCCGCTCCGGCATCCTGTCAAAGACGATCTTCGCCTGGCCGAGATGCCCGTTCTGGGCCAAGATCGACAGCGCCGTGTTCCAGGACACGACGCTCTGCTCGGGCATTCGATCCAGCAGCTCCTCCGCCAGATTCCAGCAGCCGATCGAGGAATACGCCGCGACCATGATGTTGCACGACACGATCGTGACCTCCGGGAGGCGATCGAACACCGCCTTGGCGCCCGCCACATCCAAAACCCTAGTCAGCCCCGAGAGGAAGATATTCCAAGACACGGCATCATGCTCGGGCATCTCCTCGAGCATCCTCCTCGACTGTAGCAGATGCCCATTTTGGGCATATGCTGCCACGACGGCATTCCAGCTCACCACATTCCACATGGGCATCGCGTCAAAAAGCCACTTAGCGTCGTCCACGCGGCCGGCCCGCCCGTATAGCCCAATCATGGACGTCCACGTCACGACGTTGTGCTCCGGCATGGCCCAGAATGTGCGCTGGGCATCTTCTAGATACCCATTCCGGCCATAGGCTACCATCATCACGCTCCGCGCGAAGAGATCTGGGCGTTGGATGCGCTCATAAACCTGGCGGGCCTCGATCACGCTCCCATACTTGCCATAGAGCTCAATTAGCAAGCTGGAGACCTGCCTGGGAGGATGATTCTTAGCAGCGAGATTGGAGTGGGCTTCTCGGAGCTCCGCGAGATTATTGCAAGACCTCAGTGCTTCGTAGATTTTCCATTCCATCAAAATCCCCAACCCTCCCACAAAGCGTTTTGAAAATGTAGGGCTTAGGTGGCTATGTCCAATGCGGCATCATGCCTTGGAGCTTGCAAGACAAGCGCTCGACGACTTTAGGGCCCCGTCGGGCGACGCCACGACCTCCGCCAAGGATTCGTTTGCTCGGCTCTTAGCAAGCTGCCGGGATGTGGGCGAGGGCAAGCGCATCCACTGCTCGATTCTCGAGAGGGGCCTCGGCCATAGCAGACTCCTCGCGAATCTCCTCATCCAAATGTATGGAAGGTGCGGCCACGTCGACGCCGCGCGAGGGATATTCGAATCCATCGGCGAGCCCAACGTCTTCTCGTGGTGCATCCTCCTCACGGCATATGCCGAGAATGGGCATCTTGTTCAGGCGCGAAGGATATTCGATTCCATGCCCGAGCACAACCTCGTGTCATGGACGGCCATGATCGCGGCATTTTCACAACGGCACGATCTTCATGAGGCACAGGCGCTCTTTGACTCGATGCCCGCGCAAAGCATTGCCGCGTGGAATGCCCTAATTACGGCATATGCCACAAGTGGGCATTGTGAGACAGCAAGGCACTTGTTCAACTCTATGCCAGCCCGGGACATCATCTCCTGGAATGCCCTAATCGCGGCGTATGGTGCAAACACCTTGCTAGGAGAAGCCGCGGGCCTCTTCTGGGCCATGCCCGAGAGAAACGTGGTGACGTGGACCTCAATGCTCACGGCATATGCCCAAGGTGGGCATATGCTTGAAGCGAGAAGAATATTCGACTCCATGCCCGAGAGGAACGTTGTGTCTTGGACCGCGATGCTCCACGCATATGCCGAGAGCGGGCATCTAGGGCTCGCTAGGGCGACGTTTGAGGCGATGCCCGAAAGGAATGTGGTGTCGTGGACGGCCATGGTCCAGATCTACGCGCTTGCCGGCCAGGTCGAGCGCAGCAAGGAGATCTTTGATGATATGCCCCAGAGAAACCCTATGTCTTGGACGACTATGATCCAGGCTTACGCTTGCCACGGGCAAATCCGGGAGGCCGCGGCTACATTCCAGGCGATGCCGGCGTGGGATATGGTGGCGTGCACGGCGATGCTCGCGGCGCACGCCGCTAGCGGGGATTTGGAGGCGGCGAAATCGCGCTTCGATGGAATGCCAGCGTGGGATCTGGTCTCTTGGAGCGCGCTCCTCGCGGCGTATTCCCTGCGCGTCGATCGGCCGGAGCTCCTCGAGAATCTCCACGAGCAGGGGTCAGGAGAGAGCGATGGCGCCGTAATATCGGGCAAGATGCTGGATCGGGCAAAGACGCTCTTCGATCTGGTGCCGGAGCGCGATCCAGTCATGTGGACGTGGATGATCGCGGCGTACTCCCACGCCGGCCATCTCGATCGAGCGCGCAGGTTGTTTGAGACGATGCCGGAGAGGGATCTGGTGTGCTGGAACACGATGATCGGCGTGTATGCCGAGTCCGGCCACCGCGTGATCATCGAGCTCGTCCAGGCGATGGAGCTCCAGGGCCTGGACCCCGATCGATTCTCCTTCATGAGCGCCATCGCTGCGTGTAGCCGGCTGGGATGGCGCGATCGGGGCTGGAAATATTTCGTGTCGATGATCCAAGATCGGGGAATCCGGCCCTCGCGAGAGCACTTCTCGTGCGTGGTGGATCTCCTGGGGCGATCGGGGGATCTGGGGCACGCCGAGGAGCTCGTCCGATCGATGCCGTTCTCGCCGGACGCCACGGATTGGGGGGCGCTGCTCGGCGCGAGCGCGACGCAGCGCGACGTGGATCTGGCGGCGCAGGCGGCAGGGAATGTATCAGTGCTGGAGCCGGAGATGGCATCGTCCTACGTGCTGCTCGCCAGCGCCCTGGCCGATCGATCGAGTGGGGGAAGAAGAAGAGAAAGTATTTAGCTTCCATCGCTCTAGGGTTTTAGGGCGTCGCGGTCGAGGAGGATGAGCGTGAAGAAGAGCGGCAGATCCAAGGCGAGGTAACGCAATGCGCTTTCTAGCGATTCGATTCATCTCTTGGATTGATCAGAGCTCGCGTCGCGTGGGACGAGGACAATCTCGACTACCTGGAAGCAAACAAGAGCCCCAAGAAGAAGATCACGGAGCCAAAGACGCCGTATCACGCCCCGGAGGCTAGCGACGGTAAGAATTCCTCCATTTGGAAGACGAGCAAGAGATGGATCGTCCACTTTCCAGGGATGATCTCACCGCTGACTGACGATTTGGACGGGATGAGAGTTTGCGACGAATCCTCGTCCGTGGATCCGGAGGCCGTCACGAGCGCGCTACTCGCGTCGTCCTCGAGCAACGGCACCGGCGGGAGGAGATGGCGGAGGAGCAGTGGGTGGACATCGTCCGAGGATGAAACCGAGGATCGCCGGGGTAAGATCAAGGTTCCATTTTTCCTGGATCATAGTTCATATAGACGATGTCCGTTGCCCAGAAGAACACCAGCGATTCGCGGAGCTCCGGCGAGCGCACTACGATGAGTTTCGGAGGCTACAGTTGCTGCGCTTGCAAGGATCGAGCTGGCAAGAGGAGGAGGAGGAGCAAGCTGCTGCGAATGGATCCGCCGGAGGAGATGGAAGACACAACCACCAACAACAAGGATCATCCTTGCAAATCCAAGCGAACACGAAAAACTCTGGCAACACTCCCGAGAATCAATGAAGAAACTCGTGAGTTCTTCCAATTGATATAGATGCGTGACTTGTGAAACTAAAATAAGAAGGGTCCCCACCTTTGCGTTATCTTGAGTGCCACGTCATGCGGAATCTAACAGAATATAACTATTCAAATATTCTTTGTGTGTATTTTCGCGGTGAAATTTTCTCTGTTGGATGGCCACTGCAAGAAGAGGAATGAGAGATGAATACCACTTCAAATTCGTCTTCCAGTGGCCTTCCAAAAGGGAAGAGCTTTTGATTTGGTTTTGCCGATTGTTTCTTCTGGCATGGAGCATACGCCGGAGCAACAGCCACGGCGCTGGCGCAGTCTTTTCGATATGGTCGGAACTCAGTGCACAGTCGCTGTGCATGACGCGCTCCATCGTCTCGCGACTGGGTCTTCTCATTCTTCCATTTAAATAGCGCCCGACCATACTCATTCAATTCCAGAGCAATTCAATCGACACTGACGGCGCTATCCAAAGAGAGTTCTAGCAAGCAAGCACCACCAAGAAAGAAAAGAAAGATAGAACAAAGCTCCATAGCCACAAGCATGGAGAACGCCCGAGGAATTCTCATCGCCATACTGGTCGTTCTTCCTCTGCTGCTCCAGGCAGCCAAGATTTCTCTCTCTCCACCAGATGGAAACTCGTACGAAAAAACTAAAAGAGTTTCTCTCGACGATGGTTCTAAAGTTTGGTTTCCTCTTTTCGTTGTTTCCAGGATTGATTTCGAGGTAACCGCCAGCGGTTTCCAAATCTACTCGTGCGTGGATGTCAACAAAACCGGCCATCTCTCTTGGGTCCTCGACAGAGCCGAGGCCGAGCTCTTCGACGCCAAATTCCACATCCTGATTGGATTCCACTACTTTCTTCCAAAACCCGATGCTGGAGGAGGCCGAGCAACTTGGTCCTTGCTCAAAACCCCGGGCTCCTCCTCGTCCGAGCTCCCCTCGAGCACGGTCACAGGTATAAAGCTATCGAAACTTTCACTGCATTGCTATTCATCTCAAACGCTAACATTGTTCTTGCTCTTCGTGATCGATCGACCAGGCAAGACCATATCCAACTTATCCGGAGGCCGAGGCAACATCGACGATCTCTTGGTGCAAGCCACCTCTCACAGTGGACACACGCGACTTGGCAGAGCCTCCTACATCCAGAGGATCAAAACTCGCGGAGGAACCGCTCCAAGCGATGAGATTTGCAAAGTCGGCGGCATGACGCAAGCAGTTCCATACAAATCCGACTACGTATTCTGGACCCAGCAAGCCTCCGACGTCATCGAGGGACACCACGGCTACATCGACGCGAAGTATTCCACTCGGCCACTGTTCGTGCTCTTTGGCGAGGGATTCCAGCACTACAAGTTTGATGGCTCGGCCTGGCAGCTCTTCAATGCCTCCGCGCTGCTTTCTTCGATTCCCGGCCAGGAGGTGATTGGCGACCACTACTTTCTCGAGACCAAGGACGCTCGCGGCGGACAACCGACGTGGTCGAGCTTTGCCTCGCCGAGCACCGTGACGGCAAAGCCTGTGAATACTTTGAGGCCCGCCACGAGCGATAGTATTTCTTGGGCGGATCTCCACGCAACCGGGAACACCGGAGACAAGTAAGCTTGATCGGATTCTCTGTTCTGCCAGAAACTTACAAGTTGTTGCTGTTCTTGGTCCCAGATACTTTTTCGGAGGGGTGACGTATGTTCAAAGACGCTCCACGAGGGGTGGTTTGCCACCGCAAGTATCGAGAGCTCCAAAAGTTGGCGATGTGTTCCTGTCGCCTTACTCAGCGGTCTACTGGTTCTACGTGTCGAGCTAGTCAAAAACTCTTTTTTCTTGCTTTTGAAAGCACTGAAAGAAACTGTCCATTGCAAGAGACAAGATACAGAGTCCTCCTCTCCACTCAAACTTTTCTTTCAATCTCTAGAAGTAGACATTGGCAGCTTTCCTGAGCTTGGTGGCGATGGCTCCGGACGCTCCATCGGGATAGAAACCTCCGGGCTTTCTCGCATCGCCGGTTCCATACACGATCTCAAGAACCTGTTGTGGTGTCCGAGCGAAGGACAGCGAGAACTTATCGCCCACGAGAATGTTGCCTTCGATCTTCTGCTCGGCCCCCAGACACTTTGGAACCACCAGGCCTTCGTCGTCGATGCCGGTGGCGTCGTCCAGATTGCTTCGAAGCAAGCTGAGCTTGCTGGTGATCTCGTGAACTGTAAGCTTGTAAGGCTCCACCACCGTGTCCTTTCTCTCGTACAAGTAGGTCCGAATAACTGCGTCTTGTCCGGACTCGACACCGAGGAGCCCAGCAAGGAGCTACAAAGAGCAAGCTTTAGAGCTACCTGAAGAACCAAGAGGAAAAATGGGATTTTTCTTGCTTACCCTCTTTCCATCAGAGCTCTGAGTGAGAGGATTCGCACCAACGTAGCCAGTGAGCCCAACGTAAGGAATGGCATAGCTCGCTAGCATGTAGTTCAAGCTGTTCTCGTAAGGACTGAAAGGAGGATCCAGCTTTATTCCCAATGCCTTCTCCATGATGGTGTTCCAGTTCTCCACGCTCAGATCCAGCAGAGGCCTTGGGAAGCCTTCTTCCTTTACAACCCCCTTGATTGCTCTAAGAAGAAAGAGCAAGAATGAATGCCATAAAAGGAAAAAAAAACAGAGAGAACTTTGCTTACTTCAAGTGACCAACTTCTTGCAGAGCAAACTGGGCGATGATGTCACGAACCAGAATGTCGAGCTTGGCCTTCTGCGCACCCTTTGGAGCCGGGCCATTCTCCGCAAGGCCGGGATCAAGCTTGTCCAAGCCATAGCCCAGAGCCCCATAAGCGAAAAACTCTGTCTCCAGGTACTCGAGATTCAAAGGGAATGCCAGTAACTTCTTGTCATCGGGCGTGACATCTCCTTTTGGAGCAAACGCAGCCGACGAGACCTCTCCACACGCTTCCTCGTCGTGAGCATAGCTAACAAAGAATCCAGAAAAAAGGAGGATCAAAACCACAACACTGCTAGTTCCAAAGATCAAACCCATCGCACTTGCAAACTCTCTCTTTTTTATCTCTAGCTACGGAGCTCAGAGGAAGAAAAATGTGATACCTTGGGTTGGGTCAGCATAAGAGAGGAAGAAGTGTCTCGCATTTATATTTGAGACGTTTTTTTCACTGCATGCAAATGGTAGCTACAAGCGTCAGTTAAAGAGCAGGCATGAGCTTCCACCTAAAATTCCACATCCGTGGCAGCCATCTCACCGTTGACGCGGCGCTACGTGTGAGGACACAGCGGCCAGATCGTGGGCTGATCACTGACGAGACAAATTTCGCCAAAGAGAAGAAAACAAGAACAAGGTCGTAGACCGGGGAGGGAAGAAATCGCGTCGCTGCCCCAAATTAGGGCTTTTGAGGTCTTGTGCCGGAATATTTCAATGATAATTATGTGATACTAATGATGGTGATGCTTGTCGCCTTTACCCTACTTTCGAATTTACTGGGAGTGGAATCTCCCAGTAAATGGGGATTGTATTTGGGCTTGATGAGGTCTCATTGCAACTGTTTCCTGTGTTCTAGAAAATTTCTATGAAATAGATTTGGAATATTTTATTTGTTTGTGATTTACGCATGTACAACCTGTTTTAGATCTTGTCGCATAAGATCTTGACTCCTATGGTGGAGAAGCTATATTAGCCTTACAGATAGGGAAATTTTAAAAGATATACACAAGTTAGGATGAAGAAATGAATATGACTTTCTTCAATAATAATGGCAAGAAAAACATATGGTGATGGGACATGATACGACTCAATGTTGTATGAGTCATAATCATAACACTGGTCTTATGTAATATAAAGTTTCTAACTTACCAACTTTCTCTATACCAGCTTTCAGTGTACCAACTTTCTCTACTATTTATATAGTTCACAAGTGGACTGTAAACAAATATATATTTGGTATACAATCAGATTTGCAAAAGATTCAGTATTATTCTTATGAATCCTTGGAACTTATGAGGATATATGTGAAATAATAACATTACTCATATTTTGCACTTTCCTTTTCTGATTTTCTTTAAGCAAGTGTCCAAATGATAACATTTTTTGTTAGAGGTTGGAGCTAGCCACTTGGAGTATTTACTATCTACTAGTAACAAATAACATTATCATTTTGAGACTTGACATTTATTATCATGGAATTTTATGAGAAAAAAGGCTAGAGCATCTACATCCAACTACTAATAATCTTGGAATAAAGTTGCAACTACTAGGTTGAAGTATCTATATGCAACTACTCCAATAGTTTTTCCTCATATAATTCGCAGTCTGAGATGGCATCTTTGACAAATAATAAGAAAAATAAAATAGCTTTCCAAAGAAATGAATCTTCAAAACTCTTACCTCTTCATAAAAATATGTAAAATTTATTCACATACTTTGATGTTTATCAAAGAAAAAAATGTGTCTAGTAGGAGGTTGTGTACCTATATGAGTCCATCTCATGGTGAGCATTTTTCAAGTTTTGTAAATATAAAAGTTAATTATCATTGTTCTGAATCAGTCACTAAACAAACAATGAGACTAGACCACAATTGTTTAAAGTATGAATTCTTCCTTTTGAAAGGAAACAAAACTCATAAGTTTGCTTTTAATAAACATTTGACAGTATGCCACAAGTTTGAAATACAAACTTTTTAACTTTGAGCCAATTCAAACCAATAAGTGAGGTATCCTTAAATGCATAGTCATGTTAGAATTGTGTTTTTCCCAAATACGTAATTACATCAGAATTATAAGTATCATCAAGAATATAAAATTTTGTAAAATTATTGTCATTAGGGTTATCTTACCAAGAAATAATATAAATGCATGCAAACATCTATCATTCATGCAATACCTATTAGTTCAAATTTATCTACTTTTATTTCTCTTATAAATACATTATTTTTCTAAGTAACATGTTTTCTAAAGCACTCACATTATAGTAAATATTTTGAATATTAGAAGCAAATTGCAACAAGCAGTCTTTGATTAGCCTACAAAATCTAAATTATATTAACTCAGTGTAGCTTGCCAAACAATTTGCTACTATACTAGGAATAAAAATTTCTACAACAACTAAGCAATTACTATGAACCTCATCAACTATCCCTATATATATCTTATTTTTGTATGAAGCATATATAGCAACACTTAACAATAACTCATGTAGGACTCTTTATAAATATTATTTTGAAATATTAGTAATGATTTTTTTATAAAGTTCTCTTTCAAATATAATATTTACTATAAATATGTTTAATGAATTATTTTTATTCTATTCAGTATGTAACTTTGTTGTAAGTAACTAAAGAAAATGACTCATTAGACAATGCATAAAAGTTCAAATATTAAGGGAAAGGGCTTATGAATAAAGTGCACCTCATTTTCCAATTTATTAAAAGGCTTAGGATACTTAGGGTTAAGAGTTTTTTTGTCCATAAGATATATTTTACATCTTTCATCAATCTTAATTTTACAAATGACACACACACACACACACACACACACACACATATATATATATATATATATATATATATATATATATATATATATATATATATATATATATATATATTATAATAGGTTCTCTTTCTAATGTATATTTCAAACTGGCTTTGTCTATACATAATAAGTTTAAAATGATTTTATATATATATATATATATACCATTATTATTATTTCTTTATTGATTCTTAAGTTACTATTTATAAGGCTTCTTGTGCTAAATATAATTTATAACTTTATAAGTGCGTGGAATATTGAAATGGAATACAGAATCATGCATATTCAATTAACCCTAAAACCTTAGCTTATAAGTAGTCCTAATTAAAACAAATTTAATAGATTCTCAGCCGCTTGCATCGTTTCCGAGACCAAGGAAGCCTCTCCAGGTGGATTTCTCTAGATTCAATTGGATTCCAATGCCTGATCTGTAGCACTTTCATTTTGAGAACTTTTAGTTTGTCTCTTCTATGATGTTTCCCAATGCTGATCTTCGATTTTGTGATCTCCAGCCGGAGCTGTGGATGACACGACCTTTAAATCTCTAGTGCTCGAGTCTGAGATTCCCGTTTTGGTGGACTTCTGGGCTCCCTGGTGCGGGCCGTGCCGGATGCTGGACCCGGTGATCGACAGCATTGCCGAGAAATACAAGGGCAGGATCAAGTGTTACAAAGTTAATACCGATGACAGCTCCAAGACCGCAACAGAGCTGGGAATTCGCAGCATCCCGACGTGCATGATCTTCAAGCAAGGTGAGAGATTGGACACCGTCATAGGCTGCGTTCCAGAGACCACTTTGATTACCACCATCGAGAAGTACATATGAAGCAAACAGGGGGGTATAGCCTTTGACGTTTGCAGCTTGTTGCTCATCCGACCAGCCAAGAAGCCGAGAGAAAATAATTACTTTGGTCAATTGAGCATCTTCTGTATTATACTTTGTCTACCTTCATTGCCAAGACAAATTTTATATTTAATCTTGTTGATATACTTAAAGTCATATAAAAGGGTCAATGATGTTGTAGCTCTTTTAAACACTGTTAAAATATACATTGTGAGTGCATGGAATATAAAAATGAAATATAAAAATGGAATATAAAAATGTACATCTTAATTAACCCAAAAACCTTTATTTATATAAAAGAACCAATTAAAATTAATCTGAAATTGTGAGTGCCTGGAATATGGAAAGGGAATACAGAAATATGCATATCAATTAGCCCAAAAACCCTAGCTTATATATAGGAGCGAGTGGTCCGGATTGAAACCAATCCGACGGCTACCAAGAAACCACTACGCTAATATTAGTATACGGCATCGTAGCCGTACACTTGGCCCTCACATCATCCCCTCCTCTCGGAATAATGGAAGGCCGTCAGGGTTCTCTTGTAGATGGGCCGGGATCTGGAGGAATGTTAGGAGGAGGCATCGGCGGATCTGTAGACGCTATTAACTACTCCTGATCCCTTTGTATGAAGCGTTTTAACCGCTGCACATGCACAATCTTTGGAGGATCGGCCTGCTGAACGTCATGCCGAACCTCATAAACTTGCAGTCCAACTTGCTGCAACACCTGATACGGTCCTTTCCACTGCGCAAGGAGCCCCTTAGATAAACCACGTACCGTAAGATGGGGAAAACGGACTAACACCAAATCATCCACTTTGTACTCCGCAGGTGGACGATGATGGGAGTTGTAGCGCCGTTGTTGTCCCACTTGTACGCGGCCTAAGTGTTCGGCAGACTCTGCTCGGACAAGTGGAAGAATGCTTGTCAAATACTGATCCCATGACCTAGCATCAGGAGCTCGTGGCAATCGCGAAGGTAACCCTAGCTTTGTTGGTAATATTGGATCATGACCATATAGAAGTTTATATGGTGAAGCACCAATAGAACTCTGCACCCCTGTGACATAAGCATACCGAAGAGACGGCAAATAACCATCCTAATCCGAATGCTGAAAGTTCACATACTTCGCAATCATCCCTTTGAATGTCCGAACGAGCCGTTCCACCAGACCGTCTGATTGTGGATGATAAGCACTCGTAAAAGTGTGGCGTATCCCCAACCGAGATGTCAAAACATGAAATACCTCAGCCATAAATGCAGGACCATTATCCGAAAGAATCCGCTCTGGACAAGAATGCTGGAACACCACTCGATTGAGGAGGAAGTATCCAACAGCAGTTGCAGAGGCGCTAGCAAGAGCACCAACTTCCACCCAACGAGTCAAGTAGTCAGAAGTAATAATAACATACTCATTGCCAGCAGTCGATCGTGGAAAAGGTCCCATAAGATCAAACGCCACCAACTCAAACGGACGGGAAACTGCAATTGACTCCAACCGTCCTTCCGCAGCACAAGGGGGAGTATTACGAGCTTGGCACCAAACGCAGCTACGCACATACCGGATAATATCACGTCGCATCTCCGGCCAATAGAAAGACCTGCGCAGCTTCTCGGTGACACGACGGTGTCCCATATGCCCACCTAGAATAGGAGAATCATGGTAGGCATGGAGAAACCGCGGAATAAACACCGAAGGCACCACCAGCCGTAAATGATCATCAGGATCCGTCCCCATAAAATAAAGAAGGCCATCTTCAAGGCGATATTGAGAATGTAAATGCCAGAAAGGCAAGTCATCAGCAAGTGATGCAGGATTCTCAAACCCATCTCGAAGCCTTTGAATCCATGGCTCAATCTTTTGAGCCTCGTGAACCTCATCAAGAGAAGGTAGATCTTGCTCTACACCCTGTGGACACTGAACGTCAAGGACAGCAACTGCCGACAGCATAGAATCCTCATCTAGAAAATCCACAGATGCTGGAACAACAGGTTCGTCAGAAACATGAGAAGTGAGTGGAGAAGGAAGAGGAGCTCGAGAAAGGGCATCAGCATCAGCCATAGAATTCCTTGGGCGATGAACAACATCAAAATCATATATCTGAAGCTTCAAAGCCCATCGAGCCGTATGACCAACCAGGTTCTTCCACTTCAATAATGAAGTAACAGCAGCATGGTCACCTTCAAGTAACGTCCGAGAACCATGTAGATATGCATGAAGTTTCTCGAAACCTCAGACTGCTGCTAAACACTCCTTCTCCGTCGTGGAGTAGTTCATCTCCGCTGGTTGTAATGTACGGCTTATGTATGCAATAGGATGGCACTGACCAGGCACACTCGAGCTCTCTTGTATTAACACACCTCTAAGACCAATGTCAGAAGCATCCACGCGCAAAATAAAAGGTCGAGTGTAGTCAGGATATGCCAAAACCGGAGGAGTCGTCAATAGCTCTTTGAGATTCACGAACGCCCGCTCACAATCACTTGCAAACCCTCACGAGAAATACGGTACCCAAGATAAGTTGTGTCCTTGGACCCAAACACGCACTTCGACCGCTTCAGCTTTAAACCAACGTCGCGTAGCCGATCCAACACTTTACAAACATCACGAACGTGCTCCTCCCACGTCCCCTCTGAGTGGATCAAGACATCATCAATGAAGTCAGCCGTCACCTTCGGCATATCGCAAAGAACCTCGTCCATCATCCGCTGAAAAGTTGCTGGAGCATTGTTCAAACCAAACGGCATCACCAAAAACTCGTACAAACCAAATGGTGTACGAAAAGCAGTCTTAGGAATATCTTCTTCGGCCATCGGTACTTGCCAATACCCAGAAGCAAGATCTAGCTTGGTGAACCAACGACTTCGCCCCAGACGATCCAAGAGATCAGCAGTGTGAGGAAGAGGGTACACGTCCGGGATCGTCACTTCATTTAACGGACGATAGTTGATGCAGAAACGAATACTCCCATCAGGCTTCGTCACAAGATGAGGTTCACATGCCCAAGGACTCCGCGACTTCCGAATAACACCCTTCTCCAACATCTCCTTGACGTTTGCACGTAAAATCTTGATCTCCTTGGGTGACCGACGACGAACAAGAACTTTGATTGGACGAGCATCCCCGGTTGGAATGGGATGACGTCTGGCAATCTTGGCCCCAGACAATAGGTCAAATTCAAAGAGATCAGAATACTCCTTCATGAGCTGGTCAACAACTGCAACACAAAGATCATCGGAGAGATCGGAAAAGGGAAGAGCAGAACAAGATGGAAACACAAGAGGAAATAGTGGGGGAACAAAAGTAATGGAAGCAGAGGTAGAAGTAGAGGGACGAAGAGGTACGGAAGTGAGAGGAATGGATAAAACATAAGGAAGTATGAGATAAGGGGGAGAAGCCTCAAAGTCACATTTGGCATGATTGTGCTGCAACCAATCTATACCAAGAATGAGGTCAAAAGCTTGACTCGGCACCATCCGCTGCACGACACAAGTGTTGACGACAACGTGTGGCAACAGGTCGAGCAATAGAAGATAAACTCGAACCTGTATCAACCAACACGGAGAGAAGAATAGGAGACCTCTTGTTATAAAAACGAGCTTGGAAAGTAAACACTGGATGAACCAGTGCCGAGTGAACCCCTTGATGATACTCCCGAAAGAAAGATGGAGGGGTCACTAACTTATTCGCGCAAGGTCCCTCCATTACTCGCTCGACTCTTCGTTTCCCGAATGCACCTCGGTATCCAAACCTTCCACCGCAGCAGCACCAATGGGATGTTGCTGACGCCAAGGTCTCCACCCAGGAAATGGAGGTCACCAATCCGGAAAGCGCCGACAACGCCGATAAGTATGACCAACTTCATCACACGCCCAGCAACAAATGTCACGGCCACAACCACGTCCTCGCCCTTGTCCTTGGACTCGAGTAGCAGCAGCATCAACCTCCATGGGAACAGGACCATCACTCATAGGAAGTGGAGCTGAAGGACGTGTAGCAAGAAGTGGAAGAGGCAACGTCTCATAACGTTGTGCCAAGTGAAAAGCATCGTCAAGAGTGGCAAGAGCAAGTGCATGCACAAGTCCGACAAGATCTTGACGAAGTGCTGGCCACAACATTCCTAGCTTGATCCGCTCCGACATATTTGGCTCCACACGAAGCAAAAGACTTTGGAAACGAACGCCAAATTGCATCACCGACTCAAATGGCCCTTGGCGAAGACGATGCAATTGTTGGAAGGCATCATCACAATCGTCGGCATGTCCGAAGGTGCGTTTGAAGACGTCTGGAAGAACACTCCAATCGCCACGAGTGGCTGCGCTCAATCCATTATACCACTACAATGCCGTCCCTTGGAGACATGTGGGGAACTCACGCAAACGTCAAGCATCATCCCAAGAATTATATGTGGCAATCACCGTGAAGTGATCGAACCAATGGTACACATCATCCCCAGGATTCCCACGAAAGAACTCCGGCCGAACGCGAGGATTGGCACCAAGAGCAAGAGGAGTTGTACCATGTGCCGTGAACGCCACCATCAACTGAGTTTAGTTGTTCAGTTGCAAGCGCATAGCATCAAGCAATTGAACCAACTGCTGCTCTAGAGTCAAAGGAGGAGATTGCGGATCGGCCATGAAGATGAATGAAAAAGAAAGAGCAAAAGAAGAGAAATGACAAAAAGCTGGAAAGAAATGGTAGATCTAGACAATGCAAAAAGCTAGATCTAAACCAAAATCTTGAAAGGAAAGAACAAAAAAAAGGAAATGGAAAAAGTTAGATCTAGACAATGCAAAAGCTAGATCTAAACCAAAATCCCAAATCCAAGCACTCCCCAGGGACAATCAAAGGTGCCCCTCACCTCCACCAATGTGAGTGCATGGAATATGGAAAGGGAATATAGAAATGTGCATATCAATTAGCCCAAAAACCCTAGCTTATATACAGGAGCGAATGGTCCGGATTGAAACCAATCCGACGGCTACCAAAATCCCACTACGCTAATATTAGTATACGGCATCATAGCCGTACACTTGGCCCTCACACCACTACACTAATATTAATATAAAACATCACAATTATATACTTAAACTCTTCCTCTCAAAAGGATGGAAGGCAGTTAGAATTCTTTTATTAATGAT